TTAGAGGACAACATCAGGCACTTAAAAGCTTGGCTGAAGTGGAGATATCTGTCTCACTTGAGTAATAGGTACCACTTGCCTGTTATGTCACAAGGGTAAGGGCTGCACATGGTGTTCTGAGGCACAAACCACTGAAAATAACAAACTTGTGGCATAAGGTTTTTAACCTGTTTCTCTTCTCCACTTAAGAAAGTTAAGGAATATTGGTTGATAGTTAAGGAATATTATTTAGTAGTTAAGGATGAACAGGATCCAGGCCTGGTAACAAAAAAGGCCAGAAAGAAGGCCTGGAAACGGGCAGGGATCAAGGATGCACTGCATGAACTCCTGGGTGGGACACTGGCACAGGGGATGTGTTTTTCCACTTTTTCCATGCCCTGCCTTGGCACAAACACTGATGTGCTGAGGGGTATGGAGCTGTTCTGGGGTGTCCTAGTTCATAAATGATGGCAGGAGCTGCCTGTCCCTGATTGCCTGTGTTTGTTGCAGTACCTCTATGCCTTCAGCATCGTGCCCATGAGCTCCATGGACCCTGCAGAGCTGGTGAAGCAGCCTCAGGACGTCACCGAAAATCCCTACCGGAAACTCAGGAAGGAGGCTCCCAAGAGCAAAGCCCCTCTCTCTGCAGAGGTACTGCCCTGTGCTCCTCCCCCTGGGCCTTCCTGCTTCTCTCTCTGTGCTCACAGCACTGCTTGGCTTTCCCTTTGGGATATCTCTGTCCAAAACTCTGCCATGGGGACAGGCTGGGGGAGCTGGGGGTGTTCAGCCTGGAGCAGAGAACTTATGATGGCCTTTCACTTCTTAAAGAAGGACTGTAAGAAATATGGGGACAAAAGTTTTGTCCTCTTCAGCATCAAAGCCTTCTAATGGCATTTGGCTCTATGGGATACCTCAATCAACTGTTTTCAACCTCTGGCAAGTCTGTGACAGGTTAACATCTGTAAGAAATAAAGCCATTCTTTTGGCACTGGCTGGCAAATGAAAAGATTTGAATAATCCATAAAATCTGGCAATTCTGACTGTTCAGCATAAGGCTGAATAGGAGAGCATAATGATTTGGGGCAGCTCTCCCTCAAGTTCTCCCTGACTGAAGCAAGTAAAGCCTGCAGCATTACTATGAGGATAGGTCATTCTGTTCCAGGGTATTCAGAAGGCATTTCTTCCTGGAAAGGGTGCTCAGGCCTTGGCAGGGGCTGCCCTCCATCCCTGGAGGTGTCCCATCAAGGGCTGGAGGTGGCACTCAGTGCTCTGGGCTGGGGACAAGGTGGGCACTGGGCACAGCTGGCACTCCATGGGCTGGCAGGGATTTTCCAGCCTCAGAGATTCTGTGACATTGATGCTTTTCAGAAGTGGTTCACAGCTCTTCAGGAAAAATCAAATCAAATCTATATCCTGTCACTTTCTGTGATGCAGTTCTAACTGAACATCCTGTTCACTTTTCATTTCCTAAACAGGAAGAACCAGCCTGTCAGTTTTTCTTTGACTTGAACAAGCATCAGGGAAAGAAACGTCCCTCAGATGGGAAAGAGAGAGGGGACTCCCAGCCTAAGCAAGCCAAGAAACCCCGTAAGTGTGAGGATGCTTTTTTCCTGAGCTCTTCCCTCGAGGCTTTGGATGGACCACGTCACTCCAAGTTGTTCCTCAAGCTGTTGAGCTGTAGGTGTCAGAGCCAGAGAGCTCTGTCACTGCCAGCTGCTGGGGGAATGCAGGAGGATGAAGGGCCCCTTGTTTCCAAGGGAGGATAGGCTTCAGCAGGTGAAAGAAGAGCACAGTTTCAAAGCTCTTTGGGTCTGTGGTGGTTGTGGTTGGGCTGATGGTATTTACCCTCTGAACCAGCCACTTCCAAAAAGCTCAGCTCAGGTATCACAGTTTTTGGGTGTGAATCCAGGTGTTTTGGGTGTGGTGGATAGGCCAGAACAGACAAGTGTGTTTGACAGCATCTGCCCTTGTCTTTACCTGTGCAGTAATTTTACCTCGTTTTGATTTGTTTGCTTACATTTGCTGGTGTTTTCTTATTAGTGAGCTGCTGAACTACTAACTCCTGATCTACCAAACTCCTCCTTCATTAGCTTACAGCATTCCAGGAGAATGGCAGTCAGCAGGGTCTGACTGCCACCCCCTCCTTTCTTGCTGGAATGTCCCTGGCCAGAGCTATGTCCTTCTGACACCTTCAGCACTTTATAAACTGGGAAGGGTGGCTGGGAAATACCAGGTTCTGTGTGTTCTTACAAATATCCCTTCTGCTAATCCTTATTTTCTTTCCCAACAAAGCTCAGCCCACAGGGCCCTGCTGGTTCTGCCTGGCCAGCCCAGAGGTGGAGAAGCACTTGGTTGTCAGTATTGGCACACATGTAAGTACCTGCAGCATGGGCTTTGCTAGGTCAGAGTCATGCTAAGACGTGGCAATACAAAATACCAATCTCCAATTTTAAATTTAAAACAAACTTCTTTCACAGCTGGCTCTTGGGTTTCCTTTCAGTTTCTTTGCATCTGCTCTACAAATAAACTTGTGAAAAGTGGCCCAGTTTTGTTCCAGCAGCAGAGCTGGATTCCAGTGCCAGAACACTTTTTGCTGTGCCAGCCCTCTGTTACCATCTGGCAAAACTTTTCCAGCTGGAAGAAAGCTGGAACCTGCTTTGGCAGCAGGATGCACCAGTGCCAGATCTCTCTGGGATGGCTGGTTACAGATTTGTTCTATAGAGGTGAAAAAGAAGGTGTCTTCAAGATGTTGACTTTGAAGCTCAGTCCATCATTGTTTTATGCACTTTGCTCAAAGTTACTGCTCCTGTATAGCATAATCCACTTACAGGGACAGGTTTGTCCACAGGATTAGTTTAAATCTGTTTAATTTTAAGTGGATTTTTGTGTCAGAATAAGAAATTCCTGCCTTGGTGGTGAAGTTCACTCAGCAGCTTCCCTGCACACAAGGCATTCAAAAGATACTATTTTTTTTTGTCCTTTGGCAGTCTCTTTGTCTCTTTCTCATCCTCTAGTGATTAATAAATTCAATACAAAAATAAATTCAAATAAAATGGTTAATAAACATTCCCCAATAAGCAACACAGAAGACTCACCTGTTCCTGAGGCTACTCAGAATGAGTAGTCAGGGAGTAAATTCCCTCAGCCCAGTGAGTAACTGGTGTGTGTTGTTTCACTCTAGTGCTACCTTGCCCTGGCCAAAGGGGGTTTGTCACCTGACCACGTCCTGATTTTGCCAATTGGGCACTATCAGTCAGTGGTGGACTTGTCTTCAGAGGTGCTGGAAGAAGTTACCAAGTACAAGGCTGCCCTAAAGGAATTTTTCAGGAGCAAGGGGAAGAGATATGTCCTATTTGAAAGAAACTATAGGAGTCAGCATCTGCAGCTACAGGTATGGTTTGGGTGTCACCCTGGGGAAACATAAACTTGCACTGAATATAAACTCCAGAGGAACTGAAAGCCATTTTGGGGTTCACCGTGGTGGTTGCTGTGTGTGGCAGCTCTTTAAGTGTATCAGAGCTGTATCAGAACTACCACAGAGATGAGAAAGGAGAGGGCTGTGCTGAGAACTTTGAAGCTTGGAGTTTTCAGCTCTCTGTCCAGCTCCTACAGGACAAAAACTCTCATAAGTTTAAGCCTGTAGAGATGGGTGCTCACCTGTCTTGTGTGATGAGGCTGAGCTGTACTGAGGAGCCACGAGCTCCAGTGATGGACTGATGGCTTTCTGCAAATGGATTGTCTCGTCTTCTTTGATGGAAATGTCCTCCCTCTCCAGGTCATTCCTGTCCCTCTGGACCTCTGCACTTCTGAAGACATCAAGGAGGCATTTATTACACAAGCACAGGAGCAACAGATTGAGCTGTTGGAAATCCCAGAGCACTCGGATCTCGCGCAAGTATGGGGCCAGATTTCACCTCTTCACTTCCCCCCTGTCCTGCCTAAGCTGCTGTTCCCCTCTGAGCTCCCTCTGTGGGGTGGGGTCAAGCTGTTGGAGGCAGAATCTCATGGACTTGATCTAGGGATGTGCCAGAATTCTGCTCTGGGAGAAGTTCCCCTCAGCTGAGAACTGTGAGCGTAGCCTCATCCTCCAAGAATGTGTTGTACTAGGCTGCGGTGACCTCAGTGAGGTTGGGAATGATCAGACCTGCCTGGTTCTTATTTAGTCACTCACAGCAGAATTAAACCACAAAATACCATAGGTGATCCCAGCAGAGAGTGCCCACTGCTCCTTCCTCCCATGGAAGGTATTGTTTGAGCTCAGGCACTGACCTCTGGCACTTTGTGGGGTTATTTTCCCAAGTTTCCTCCCAGGAGAGAGGACCATGGCATGGGGACAGCTGTGTCCCCAACCTCTGGACTGGCTGGGAAGAGGCTCTGCTTGTTCTCTGGTAGCTCTTCTCAGAAGAGTGATTAGGAAGGGGCTGCCCAGGAGGGCCATTGGAAGGGGCTGCCCAGGAGGGCCATTGGAAGGGACTGCCCAGGGAGGACATTGGAAGGGGCTGCCCAGGAGGGCCATTGGAAGGGGCTGCCCAGGGAGGTGGTGGAGTCGCCAGCCCTGGAGGTGTTTGTGGTTCATACTGGAGTGTCAGTTAGTGTCATGGTGCAGTGAACGAGCTGGTGATGGGTCATGGGTTGGACTTGATGGTGTTGGAGGTGTTTTCCAGCCAATCTGACTCTGTGGTTCCATGGTTCCCATGGCACAGGTGGCTCAGCCGGGGATGCCGTACTTCTACGTGGAGCTGGACACGGGGGAGAAGCTGTTCCACCGCATCCGCGGCCGCTTCCCGCTTCAGTTCGGCAGGTGCGTGCCACCCCCGCCCCGCCTACCTCAATGACGTCGCGATGGCGTAGAGGTGACGCGGCGGTGACGTAACGTCGCTGTCGTTGCAGGGAGGTGCTGGCGAGCGAGGCGCTGCTGGCGCAGCCGCAGCGCGCGGACTGGCGGCAGTGCGCCGCCCAGCGGCCCGAGGAGGCGGCGCAGGCCCGCGCCTTCCGCCAAGACTTCGAGCCCTTCGACTTCTCCCTCCGCGACTGAGGCGGCGCTGCCGGCGGCGGCCCCGGGCGGGCGCGGGCGGTGACGCGGCAATAAAGGCGGAGTGCCGGAGCCAGCGGCCGAGCCATGGAGCGGGGCGGCCCCCCCGCGCCCGCCGCCGGCGAGCGGGCCCCCGCCGGGGCGGCGCTGCGCGGGCACCCGGCCGGCGGCTGCGGGCCCTGGGAGATGCGCGACCGCCTGGGCACCGGCGGCTTCGGCAACGTGTGCCTGTACCAGCACCAGGTGGGGCCGGGCCGGGCGGCGGGGAGGGCACGGCCGGGCCGCGGCGGCTGACGGCGCTGTGTCCCGCAGGACTCGGGCGACCGCGTGGCCATCAAGTCGTGCCGGCTGGAGCTCAGCGTCAAGAACAAGGACCGCTGGTGTCACGAGATCGACATCATGAAGAAGTGAGTGCGGCCGGCACGGCGGCACCGGACAGACAGGGAGAGGGGACGGCCGGGGTCAGTCCGTGGACTGGCCGGGAGAGGGGAGTGCGGGCAGGGAGCCCCGGAGCGGCTGGGGAGATGGGACCGTGTTGTGGGCACAGCCGGTGCCTCGGCTGCTGCCCCAGCCTGGCAGTGGGACGGCCGGGGGTCAGCCCCTTTGTCACCCGGCGTGCCTGTGCTGGTTTATCTCTCATCCCATGCCCCAGCTCTGCCTTGGCCTGGGAGCTGGTGACCCCCACGCCCCGTGCCCTGTTGTGCTGCCTGGGCTGTTCGCTCATCTGAAATCTCACACCACCCTATGGGTTGACTTTTAATGTTGTGATTTGGGAACACCCACGTGTTCCCATACCCTGCGGTATTTTGTTTTTGATTTAGCACCCGGGGGATCCTGGAATTGCTTTTTTTTGTTACGTTGCCGAATGTAAAGAATAAATTCTCCTTACACTTCCTCGTGAGAAAGTCCATGCTCTGTGCTGCCCACCCTCCCTCTCCAGCAGGTGAAACAGGGCTGGACAGCTTTGGTCTCATGGATGTGGGGGCTTCCTCTGGGTGTTTGGCTCTCACAGATCTGCTCCTGAGAGAGAAAGAGAGAGATCATGGAGCAGGAAATCCTCCATCCCACTGGTGGGAGCAGGGATGCTCTGAGTTGTCTTTCCCAAGGTCTGCAGTGGCCCTGCTGTTCAGGGCTTTTCTGAGCTCCTGCTGTTGCTTTGTTACCCTCACTTGCTCACTGTGTGCCAGGACATAAGGGGAACCCACTTGCAGGGAACGTGAATGTGTAAGTCAAGGCTTGGTGCTGTCTGATTTGGATGCTGAAATCAATCACTGTGTTATGAGCTGCTCTTGCATTGGTGTCCAGAGGCTCTGGAAGATGTAGAGACAAATAATTTGCCTTCATTTCCTTCTGGATATGTCATTTATTCCCAAGAGTAGCATGTATTAAAGGCAGTCAGGAAGCAGCTGTTTGAATTCAGCTGCAGAAGTTAATTTTCCCCTGTGAATGTGGCTTTCACCTGCCTGGTGCAGTTACACAGGTGTTAAGGGGTTCTTGTGAAACTCTTGGGCCAGGGGGAATCTGCTCCTACATACAGCAGCACAACACATGTAATGACACTGCCAGGACTCTGCAAGAATTCACAACTTGAGTCTGGATCCCCAGCATCCCAGTCCTGTACCTTGGCTTTGAGACATCATTTCTGCTCATCACTGCTTTGTGTATTCCCAAGGTGTGGATTTTATGCATTTGGGTACTGGTAGGTACCAGCTGATGACTGAGCAAGGATTCCTGTGGGGAACAGAAGCTGTCCCTGGAGCATAAAACTGGTTGCTGTTGTCTCATTCTCCCAAAGAGAGTTTTCATGCAGCTCTCTGTGTGCTTAGGCTGAACCATCCCAACGTGGTCAGAGCCTGTGAGGTTCCTGAGGAGATGAACTTCTTGGTGAACGACGTTCCTCTCCTGGCCATGGAGTACTGCTCAGGGGGTGACCTCCGCAAGGTAATGCCTGCTTTGCTTCCAGTAAAAAGCAAACAAACCAAACTGGGCCTGTCAGTGCTGCTCCTGGCACCAGCGCTGCTCTGGGGAGCTTCTCTTTTTGGGTATGATGCCTTGAGAAGGCTGCCCTAGAGCAGAGGCCAGACAGAGTTGAAGAATAAAGCAGGGATTTGTTAAAAGGATCTCCTCCATGGATCCACCTTGGGCAGCACAAGAGCCCAGCCAGGGCTGCACCCAGGATGAACCAAAATGGGCACAAAATGCATGACCAGTCACGGGGTCTGTCACTTTTATAAGTTCTGGAGTTCATTGTCTAATTACAGCCTCAGGTTATGAAGTCCCATCCTGCTTGTTTTTCTCTCTTCAGCCTGCTTTGTTTATGTTCTTGAGCCTGAAATTTGGATGGTTGTCCTTGGTCCCCAGCTAGGGAAGGAATTGTTTTATTTAGCTACTCTTGAAGAGAGCTCACCAACACTTAATGTGAAGCTCAGAGCCACACACTAAAGCAGCACAGAATCTGAAATACATAAAAGCTAAACCTGAGGCATCAGGTACAGGTGTGAGGAAGTTAATGTAGAGTGGGAAAAAAACCACGTGTAGGAAACAAGGCTTGTGTTTCTGAAACCAGAGGGCAAGCCAAGGGCAGAGATACTCTTTTATCCTGGTGTGTCCTTTCATGGAGCTGCTTTAGCATTAGTGCAGCTGCTGTCACCCAGCAGGTTTGGCTTTGCTGCTGTCTCCATCTGTTCAGTCTGACTGGTTTGGATTCACGTGTATCTGGTGTTGCCTTGCTCTCAGCACAGGCAATGAGCCTGTTTCTGCTGAACTGCGGCCTCCAGGGATTCTGAAGCTTTGCTATTCCTGCTGAACTGGGAACTGCCAATCTGCACACTGGCAACACCCAAAAATAAAGGAGCCTTTCAGTAGTTCCCCAGGCAGTGGCTTAGTGACCTGGTAGAGTCTGTGCTCCCTTTCCATTACAGCTGGATTCAGGAAGCAGCAGTTTCTAGAGGGGTGAAGCAGCAAATCCCTGTCAGGATTTGCTTAGAAATCACCTCATCTATGTGATCAGGAAATTCATTTTTCTGTAGTTTTTGTTAGTGGTGTTAAACAGCCTTGTGGAACGTGAGCAGCTGGTGAATGCAGTAATCCTGTCTCATTATATGGTTTTGAGTTGTTGGAAACAGTCCAAGAGACACTTTTAAGGTTTAAGTCACAGTAAAAGAAGGGGAATATATGAAAAAGCATTTGGGGTTGCAGACACAGGCACCTGGCCACAGTCCCAGAGACATCTGGCTGTTGTATTATTTTGTATTATTGCAATAAAAGTTTGGAGACTCACTGAAGGTAGATTAGAGACCCTGGCTGAGAAGTTAGCTCTACTTGCAGTGCAGTGTTTGTCACTTCATTTCTGATGAGGCCTCAGCTGTGGCATAGAGGCTGTAACAATTTAGGAAGTAACATGCTTCATTCCATCTGATGTTCTGTACTGCTTTAAAAAAAAACATGATCTTTTTTATTTCTGATTGTGTTCTTTAAATCTTGCTCTTGTTTGGCATCACTTGTGTTTCACTTCATTATTAATTTTTCCTTGTGAATCCATCATGGGGGCTGAATCATCTCAGTTATCTCTAGAAGTCAGAAATTGCTGAAGCTGCTTTTATTGACAGCTCATTAAGACAGTGCTGAGGGGGAGCCTCCCTTGCCTGTGGCCCTGCCTTTGTCTCCTACCCTTTTCTTTCTGAATTTTCATTTTGCTTGAGTTATTTTCTTCTTGGCCATGATTTTATTGCACAAAACCAACTGCCCCATTCAGCTGGAGTGTCCTTGAGCTGTGCTGTTTGTTGGGTAGTTTCAACAGGGGATGGAAAATGTTGGGTTTTGCTGTTAACAAATGTTAACAAATGTTGGTTTTGCTGTTGCAAGTGTGGATCTGAACATCTTTTGCTTTTTTGTAGTTGCTAAACAAACCAGAAAACTGCTGTGGGCTGAAGGAAAGTCAAATCCTTTCTCTGCTTAGTGACATTGGTATGTAGTTAATGCTTTCTTTTTGTTTGGTTTTTTGTTTGTTTTGTTTTTAAGTGAAGTGGCATTTTCCCTTTTCAGCTTACCATGAAAAGGGAACTAAAATAAACAGGGTATTTAAAAAATCAGGCCCTTGGGAAGTACCTATTTTTCTAGACATCATGGGAAGGAAGAGCTGTCTGATAAAGGGCAATGCCTGGGTTTCTCCAGGAAAAATGTTTTCCAGGAAAGCTCCTTGTTTTCTTAATTCTCTTACAGATAACCTGCATGAGAAAGTATTTCAGGGTATTAGCCTGGACTTTCAGTGCTCAAGAGAGTTTCCAGCTGAATTGTTGAAATAAAAAGCAACTCTGCTTGCTTTATCCTTGTTCCCCTTCCAGAATGTTTTGGGTTTTTTTTTTTTCATAATCAGTTGAGTGTCTTTGGCATGTCTTTGCAAAGATGTGAAAATGCAGTGGAGAAGAAACACAAGTTTGGAAGCTGTTAAATGTAGAAATGAGTGGTAGTAAATCATGGAAGGCTGGGAATTTGCCCCCCAGTATTAGGTTTTCATCAGATTTATGTTTAATCAATGTGGATTTTATTTTGAGTTAAATCAAACACATGTCTTTCAGGGTCTGGTATCCAGTATTTGCATGAGAACAGAATTATACACAGAGATTTAAAGCCTGAAAATATTGTTCTTCAGGATGAAGGTGGGAAGGTAAGTCAAGTGATCAGTGTGTTTCCATTGTCATTTCTGGAAGCTGTCACATTGAACTGGACTGAAAACTGAACTGTGCATTTACTAAAAGCTTTAACACTGTTGCTGAAGCTTTGCCATGGACTTTCTCCAGAATTTCCACTCTGGCTTTCCTCATGAGAGTATTCTGTGACTGTCACTGAGCAGATTTTGGGTTGTTTGGTGGGTTTTTTTCCCCTCAGCATTTGCTCTTCTGATGAACTGTTTAAACTGTTTGCAGATTGTTCACAAAATAATAGACCTGGGATATGCAAAGGATCTGGATCAAGGAAGTTTATGCACTTCATTTGTTGGAACATTGCAATATCTGGTAAGACTTTTTCTTTAAGTGTCACCAGCACTGAGGCAGGACAGCTGTGGCTTGGCACTGCCAAGGGCTGAAACCTCCAAAAATGGAGATCCTGGGGACTTGTCCCAAGGGTGTCCCCTCTCAGGGAGCCACACCTGCATGCAGCTTTGCCTCTGCAGAAATGCAAGGAAACACCACAGTCAAAGTGTCTTTTTATGATCGTTTTTAGGCTCCAGAACTCTTTGAGAACAAATCCTACTCAGTTACTGTTGATTACTGGAGCTTTGGGACAATGGTGTTTGAATGCATTGCAGGATTTAGACCTTTCTTACATAATCTGCAGCCATTTGCCTGGTAAGACCCTAATTCTGGAAGAGGTGCTTGGAGGTGCTAATACTTAAACCTGTGCTGAAAGACTTTAATCTGCATATGGAGGTTTCTGCTTGTCTTCCTCTGCCTGGAGTGTTTGTTTGCTTGGTTTTTAAAAGGGTGGCTCTGCAACAGAAAAAAATAGGAAACGTGGGTTTCTCTTAGAACAAGAGGTGAATCTTTCCAGAGGCAGAGTTTATTGGAAGGGCTCTTCTCTTTCACATGGAGATGTTCTGGGTGGATTGAAAACGGCATCTTTGTCCTGAAAGATGAATTTGTTTTCTAAAGCTGCTGGACACTGGCCCCTTTCTGCTGTCTTCAGTTGCTCCCTTACAAAAGTAACACTCCTCAGCATATACACAAAGGATTTTATTTCCCAGGCATGAAAAGATCAAGAAGAAGGACCCAAAGCACATCTTTGCCTCTGAGGAGATGAATGGGGAGGTTCGTTTCAGCACCCACCTGCCGCAGCCTCACAGCCTCTGCAGGTACGTGTGTCCTCACCACAGGGGACACTTCTGGCCTTCCAAACTGAGGGCTCTTCCTCCTTTATCCAAGCTTGAGAGCTCCTCCTTTTTTCTCCAGGGTGTTTCAAGCTCCTGGCAAGCTGCTGTTTGCTGTTAAGGGATAGCCTGTAGCTCTTTTTTTGGTACTTTGGGCTCTCTCGTGCCTGTTGCCCACAAAGATGGTCAGAGCACACAAGGAGAGGCCCAGGAAGCTGGGCTGCTTCAGCCTGGTGAAGGCCTCCCCTTTCTTACAACCCTTCTGCTTTAGTTTGATTGTAGAACCCATGGAAAACTGGTTGCAGCTGATGCTGAATTGGGATCCACAGCAGAGGGGTGGAGGTTCAGATCCTGAGACCAGTCGTCCGAGGTGTTTCCTGATCATGGATCACATACTGAATCTGAAGGTGAGTGGGGGCTCTTACTGGGTGTAAAGGCCTTCTGAAAGCATCCCAGAGGACACAGAGTGTTCAGTGGAGCAAACTTGTAGTCCTGGCATCATCCAGCTTCCAGGCTCAGGAGCAATTGTTTTTCCTGGTATCAGGAAGTGAGTGCACACACAGTGTGTCCAGTACATACTGGAAGACAAAACATCTCCTGCATTATTAATCTCTAGCTTTACATTTGGAATAGAAGGATGACCCTCTATTACTGTTTGTTATCTGAAAGGGCTCACTGGGATCAAATAAGGTTTAATATTTGCTAATAACAGTTTTCCCAGACTTCCCTGTTGATGCTGTGACCTCTGGGTGTATTCATGTGCTATAGTAGTAATGCCTGTAGTAGAACAGAGGTGCAGTTTAGTAGAACAGATTTTTCCTCTTCAAACAATTACTTGAGCTTTGCTGGAGTCAGACTAGCCAAGGCAAGCATGTGTAGAAACAGGAGGATAATTTTGTCTCAGTTCTTTTGATGTAATTAAGCTGCAGCAGGGTTTGTGAAGGGTCTTAGTGGGTTGGATTATCAATTTCTCTGATATTAAAAGTTACAGGCCCAGGCTTTGAGTTTTTTATGTGGGGCTTTACTCCTGAACCGATTATTGTGGTTATTAAAACCAAATTATGCTCTCATCTGCTCTGTGCTCCATCCCAGACTTGTGTGCCTTTATCTTTGATATCCAAGGATTTGTAATCTACTTGTCCTCTTTTTACAGATAGTACACATCCTAAACATGACCTCTGCCAAGATTGTGTCCTTCCTTTTGCATCCTGAGGAAAGCCTTCATTCCCTTCAGAATCGTATTGAGTTTGAGACTGGAATAAGCACAGGAAATCAGGAGCTGCTGTTGGAAACAGGGATTTGCCTGGACCCTAGGAAACCTGCTTCCCAGTGTGTTATTGATGGCGTGGTAAGGAGGAGTCTGTTCATGTCTTCCATGTTCTCAGAGAATTTAAAATCTTAGGGAAGATAAATGGCCTAAATCTTCTCCCACAGGAGACAGTTTGCTCTGTAAATGTAGTAACTCTAAAGATCTTTTATTGGGTAATGTAAGCAGGTTTCTGTAGTTGTACACTGCCTAAATATTTAATTAATTGCTAGCAGAGAGTTCTGTCTTCCTGTAGGATCTATCAAAATAAGTTTTTAAAGGCACTTGGTTAGAGAGAGTGCCCACAATAATTAGTTCATTATGTACTGGGTTAGTAGAAGCTGGGTGGGGTTTCTCTTGCTTATATTCTCTTTTCTTCCCAGAGAGGCTGGGACAGCTACATGGTTTACTTGTTTGATAAAAGCAAAACTGTCTATGATGGTCCCTTTGCTTCTCGGAGTCTGTCTGACTGTGTCAACTACATTGGTGAGTGTGCTGGAAAAGTGCTGTTCTCATGCAAAATGAAATGAAATCTCCTTTATAAACCCCTGGGTGTTGTCTTGAAGGGCTCTGTCTGATTCAAAGAGAGCCATGTAAGAACCTGAAGCAGCCTAATTCATGTCCTGATGACGGAGTCAGTTTGAGCTTTTAGGCTGTGTATGGAAGCTGCTTCTCTGCTTGCTGCTTCCCCTTCTTGTCTGCTGAGATGACAGCAATCACTGCACAACCTAACAGATCTCTCTGAAGGTTTATTTATCATAAATCTGTATCTGTATGAATGACCCTGTGTACCTCTATGAAAGCAAAGTAGTGTCAGGGGACAGGAGATGTTTGCTGGGATACTGCATGTACAGAAAATGCCTTGTGACAGTAACTTAAGTTACTGTTCAGTAACTTAATTTTCTTTGGCCTATCTCCACTGGTTTTCCTCATCTTCTAGTGTCACTCAGGTTTTTCTGTGTTCTGGGCTGTTTTATTCTGGTTCTCATTGCATTTGTACTGAATCTCTTGGAGCAAAGGCTTTTTACACCACGTTTATTGATACCCCAGTGTACTGTCAGCCCCCATTTCTTTTTACACCGTGGTTATTGATACCCCAGTGTACTGTCAGCCCCCATTTCTTTTTACACCGTGGTTATTGATACCCCAGTGTACTGTCAGCCCCCATTTCTTTTTACACCATGGTTATTGATACCCCAGTGTACTGTCAGCCCCCATTTCTTTTTACACCATGGTTATTGATACCCCAATGTAGTGTCAGCCCCCATTTCTTTTTACACCATGGTTATTGATACCCCAGTGTACTGACAGCTCCTATTTCTGTCAGGAGACCTGCATCTTTTCCCCTTTAAACATGTACATCAGGAAATCCGAGAGGAAACCTACAAAATGTTTGAAGACATTTTCAGATTAAACACATCAGGACAGTGACCAGTATCAATGGATTAAATGGAGCAACTAAATTTGGGCAACCTTGGGCTTTAGAGTTTTTTGACCAAAACCCCCCATGAGGTTTTACCTGCTCAGTCACAGGTTGTCACATACCTGGGGGAGACGTGACATGAAAAGCTCATACATGCTTCAGCAGCATCACCTAGAAATTGAGCAGAACTTCCCAGGCTTTCTAGGCACATGAAGCAGGAATTGGGAATGTTGTCACTGCCCTGTGTTCCTCCTGTGTTCAGTGCAGGACAGCAAAATCCAGCTGCCGATCCCGCAGCTGCGCAAGGTGTGGGCAGAAGCGGTTCACTACGTCATTGGGCTGAAGGAGGATTACAGCAGGCTCTTCCAGGGACAGAGAGCTGCCATGTGAGTTGTCACCCTTCCAGAGGGAGCAGGGCTATGCCAGCATGAGGTCTGATTGCCTGGAATCATGCATCTCAGGGAGTTTTGATTCCCTGAAGTTTTACAGCTCTCTGCTGTTCTGTGTCTTTACATTATAAAACATATTTGGGCTGGGAGCTTATTCCAGTCCAGGAATTGTGCTGGGTAATGCCTGACATTGATCATAACCAAGCAACACTTGAATATGCTGAGAGTCTCACAGCATGGCTGAGGTTCATGGGTGTGGGAAATGGATTTTTAGAAAATTTTCAAAGCTTAACAGAAGGCTCACATAGTATGCATCTGTATGCAAACTTTGAGACAAGAAATGCTGACTTAAAAATGCCATGGAACAGGACTGGAACTAGAAACAAGTTTCAAAGGATGGCCTTACCAAAAAGACTGGATACTTTGGAGAAATAGAGCTATGAAAGATGCATTGTAATGGGACCCATGAGGGGTAATTTTAGATGTTGACTTTGAGGTGTTTACAGCAAAAGCTGATAGGCCAAGAAACACTGATAATGTGATTAGGAAATAGCTTCTGATTGTGGTGGTGTGAATTATAACATCTGTATTGTCTAACCCTTCACATTAAACTGAAAATGGAGTAAAAATTTTTTAAATACCTTTCAGTTGCCCCATCTCTGGATCAGGAAAGGTCTGACAGATGGGGACCTCTGGAAGTCTTCCAGCCCAGTTCATGCTCAAAAAGAACCACATCCAGACAGCTCTCAAATATTTCTGAGGGTGGAGACTCCACAACCTCTCTGGGCAGCTGGTGCCAGTGCTCAGTCCCTCTGAGAACAACAGAATTTCCTCTTTTTGAAGTCCAGGGGGGCTTTCCAGCTAATGTGTGCTGTCCTTGTTCCATCTGTTAGGCTCAGCCTCCTTCGGTACAATGCCAACCTGATCAAAATGAAGAACAACATGGTGTCAGCATCCCAGCAGCTGAAAGCAAAGCTGGAATTCTTCCACCAGAGCATTCGCCTCGACCTGGAGAGATACAGTGACCAGATGGCTTATGGCATATGTAGGTAGTGGGCAATACTTGTTTGGGTGTCTCCTGTGATCCTGGAAAGGAGCTCAGCATCTCTATGGGTGTATTTTAGCTAGGAGAGGTGCAGGAGGAGAGTTTGGCAGGAGGATAAAGTTAATGGAGACCTTCTGTGATAATGAGACAGGTGATCAGCTGTTCTCCACTGAGAATAGAAAACAGGAGCATTAATAGGACTGGTGATGTAAATATTTGCTATTTATTCATTGAGAGCCTGATTAATTTGGAGTTTTGACTGGGCAAGAGCTGCTGCACTTGCTGACAGTGCTACCAAGCTGCTGTGCTTGTTAGGAGAAACCATTTATCAGGATGAGAGATGGGTTTAAAGAGCACCAGCTACAGTTTCATATCCCAGAAACAAATAGTGCTGAGGAGAGAATAGCAAGATTTACTTGTAGTTTGAATATATATGGCTAAAAAATGCAACCTGAGGCAAAAATGATGACTGGGCTGAAGGATCATGATGGAAAATGGAAAGACACTGTGAGCTGGGTTTGGACAGTCTGTGTTCAATCAAAAGTGGCAGTTGTTGAGCTTAATGGTGGAGTTTGAAGACTCAGAGTTGTTTTAGGCCAGTGATTGCAAGCAGTGAAATCCTACCTAAGGGTTTGTGTGTGAGTTAAGGTTGAGCACAGAGTTGCAGCTTTGCTGTCTCTGTGATCTCTGTGTTGTGGCTCCTGCTGGGAGATTCAGCATCGTGTTCTTTACCAACACAGGTAAAGTCCAAGTCTTGCTTTATTTTTGTGCCTTAATGGCTTTTTACAAATTACCACCTTTTTTTTCTTAAGCTTCAGAGAAGATGCTCAAGGCCTGGAAGGAAATGGAAGAGAAAGCCTCTCAGTGTGCACAGGTAGGGGATGTTAAAGAAGCTGCATTATCTCTGTGTGAAGGAGATTGTGACAGGAATTTAATGTGTCATATGTGCCACTGCTGTTTCCCTTCAGTGTCTCATACCCTGCCTGCTGTGGGAATGGAATACCATTGCAGGTGCATTAGAAAAGACACAGTGTCCTGTCACCAAGTTGTTTGAATGGATTTGGGCAGAAAAAACCCAAAAGTCACCAATCTCAGCTATCTGAAAAGGAAAGTGGAATGCAGAGAGATGTTACTTGTTGCCCAAAAGAAATGGTGTTGTTAGGGATCAGGAGTCTTCCTGGCTGGATTTGCTGCACACAGAAATTCCCATTGCTGAAGCTGAAAACCAATCACTTGCTATGCAGAGATTTCAAAATTGCAGGATTTCACTGAGGAGTACAGACATGAATCACTGGCATGCTGCAAGTCAATATGCAAATCAGTTTAAAATGAGAGTCATCTATTTTTTATTATCTAAGGAATGGATAAAAAGGTGGCTGCTTCTAGCAGAGTAATTGAATTGAATTGTCTCTGGCTTTTTCCAGACAAGCAGGAACCTCACCCAATACTTACTTGGCAGACCATCAGAATTATGTTCTGTTATTCCACCTGCCCTGCCCCTTTACCAGGAATGGAAAAAGTTTATACACAGGGTAGGAGGCAATCCAGAGACACAGAGAGATGATTTATGAGGAAACTGACTTCTCTCAGCCAGTGTTGCTGGTCAGAGGTTTGGTTGTAGGTGATGCCATGCACTGAGAATAAAAACCTCAATTATTGTAGCAGCACTGTACCAAAGAGCTTTTTAGTCTCCTAAACTCTGCCTGCAGTCAGCCCATTATCCAAACAGGTGTTCTGGGGTCTTTATCTCCTTATTGCTCTCCTTGGGTGTGACCTGTGCCCAATTTCCCCTCAGGCTGAAGACATTGGCTACCTGGATGAGCAGATCATGGCCCTGCACACGGAGATCGTGGAGCTGCAGAAGAGCCCCTACGCCAGGCGCCAGGGAGAGGTCATGGAGAGCCTGTAAGCCCTGGGCTGCTCATTTGCACTGTAGAAAATTTGGTCTGGTGTATTTCTGTGTCTCAGGGGATTTTTCCCCTCTGTAGCTGGTTCCCTCTGTGATTTAGAAATGCTGACCACAAGTACAGAGTAGTGTGTGGTTGATTTGAGATAATGTTGCTTGTGAAAAGAAAGATCCCACTGTTTGTGGGACAATTCCCTGTCACTGAACTGTGAAACCTCATCTTACAAGAGCCAGGACTAAGATAAGTCTTGGTCTCAACTGGGGATTTCCTTTTGTGTTGGAGAGGAGTGACTTTCTTACTGTTGAGTGGGAAAACTATGTGAGCATTGTAAAACCCTGTTAAATACCTTCAGTATTTTCAAAGGGGTAAATATCTCATGGGTACTTGGATATTTGGAAAGTTTTGGGTTTGTTTTTTTTTTAAATATTAAAATATGAAAGAGCCAAATGGTATTTCTGATGCTGAGAAGACACAGGAAGCAGTTACTGGGCTGCTGCTGAGAGCACAAGTGGCAATTCTAAAAGAGAGGGATTGAACAGCCATTAAATCTGTTAATCAGAGCTCTTCAGAGCAACTCTGACTGTTCAGGGAGAAAATGTGCCTGCTCCTGGCATGTTCTCCCCCCTCTTTGCAAAGTTGCTTTTCATCCTGTGCAGTTTTAGCAGAACTGGTGCACAGGGGAGGAAGTGGTGCAAAGGAGAAGCTACCTGCTGCAGCAGCAGCTCAAACTAATCAGGATCATGCCTCCTTAAAGATGATTTTTAAGCAATTCCACCACTGCAGACCAGGATCAGGGCTGGGAAACTGCTCCTTGTTTCTGACAGCCTGGGATTTAGAACAGGAAGGATTTTGTTCAAGGCTGGAAGTTTTTGGTGTGGCTGTTTTTGAAATACTTGAAAGAAGTAATGTTTGTTTAATGGGAAGAAGAGAAGCACAGTCATCTTGCTTGTGATGCAGCTGTCTCTTTCCACTTACAGAATATCACTAAAATTCAGGCCAAAAATGCAGAGCAGGAACAGAACAAGAATTTCTCAGGCAGTTGTGCAGTCAGAGTTTCAAAAATGAAATCAGATAATGAAGGATGCAGGGGAAATAAAACACAGCTGAGCCATGGGAAGATTTGAAACTGAAAATAAGCTCCACTTGGTGTGCTTTTCTGAGAAGAAATTGCATAATTGGAGAAAAAGAGAGACAGCTTTGGGAAAAGTGTTGGATTCCATCTCAGAGGGAGTATCCCTGTGTTCCAAAGGCCATGGCTGAGTCCCAGCTGTAGGAAAAGGACAAGGATCTGAGTTCAGAAAGGCATCCCTTCACTGCAATGCTTTTTTTTTGAGTCACCTGGCTGGTTTTGAGACACCTGCCTGAATCATTTTCTTCTTTTTAAAGGGAGCAGAGAGCCATAGACCTGTACAAGCAATTAAAAGCACGACCTCCAGGTATGGAAGAACATGATTTAAATCTGTTTCACACTTTTCCCCCATGATTAATTGTTGTGAACTGAAACCCAGGGAATGCTGTTAGGGTTTACTAATGTGGTGGTTGCTGGCCCTTCCAGATCATGCCTACAGTGACAGCACAGACATGGTGAAGATCATTGTGCAGACAGTGCAGAGCCAGGACCGAGTCCTCAAGGAGCTCTTTGGCCACCTCAGGTACTTTTTGCAGACAAAAAAATCCAATTTGCAGCATTTGGAGCTTTGTAGTAGGAAAGGATAGGGAAAACCATGGAGGTCAGAGCCCAAAAAGCTCCATTCACATTTCTCATAGCATTAATTCTGCACCTCTGTGTTGAATTTCTACTTAATTTTTAAAAACATGACTGTTAGCATCCAAGAGTTCACTTTAAAATGGGGTAAATTCTGCCAGTTGGAAGTTGGAATTCACATCTTCAAAAGAAAAAAAAAAACTTTAAAAATTCCTTCAAAATTCAAAGGAAAAAGAAAACTCCTTCAAATGCAAAGGAAAAAAAATTACTTCAAATTCAAAGGGGGAAAAAAAGTAGCAGTGTTACAGAGCTGAGAAGATACCACTGTGATTTGTACATTAATTTTTCAAGTATCCCAATTTTCCATTTTTCTTGAATCCCTTGAAGGTGGGGCTTTTGGTTTTGCCAGAATGTGCTGGGAAGTGACTTTGTGTTTGGTTTTTATTCTAGCAAGCTCTTGGGCTGCAAGCAGAAGATCATTGACCTGCTCCCTGAGATTGAAGTGGCTCTGAACAACATCAAGGAAGCTGACAGCTCAGTGATGCAGATGCAGGGAAAGAGACAAAGGGAGATCTGGCATTTGCTGAAAATTGCTTGTGTGAGTAGCTGTTGGGTTATTTGCACTTCTTCCAGTGCATGAGCCAGGAAGTAAACTCAGCAAAAAGGGGTAACTGCCACACCATGGTTGTATTTTTTCTTCCTACAGAGAAGGGCAGTCTGGGATGGCAAAAGCAGAAGCTAAAGAGGTGCTTTCCTGGTTATAGTGTTTTAAAGAGTACTCTGCTTTTTTTGCATTAATTACAGTGCCTGAAGCCATCTCCTGGTTCCCACATCTGTGTGTGTGTTACCAACAGTGCTTATGTGCAATCCCAAATCTTCCCTAGGTATCATTGAAGCCTCAATTCTCCTGAATTTCTTTTTGCAGACTCAGAGCTCCTCTCGATCCCTGGTCAGCTCTAGCCTGGAAGGGACAGCCTCAACTCCAGCAGCCACCTGGCTCCCCCAGGGCTGCTCAGGGAACTCAGCTCCTCACCCTCTGTCCTCACTGGCAGCTCCTGAAGATGGGTATGTGCTGTATTTGTGGGGTGCCTGTGGCAGGGAGGAATGAGGAATCTGTTCTCAGAAGGATAATTGATCATTTTATGATACTGTATTATATTAAAGAATGCTATACTAAACTAAAGAATACAGAAAGGATACTTACTGAATGCTAAAAAGCTAATAATGAAAACTTGTGACTCTCTCCAGAGTCCTGACACAGCTTGGCCCTGATTGGCCAATAAGTCAAATAGTTCACACCAGAATCCATGAAACAACCACCTGTTGGATAAACAATCTCCAAACACATTCCACATGTGAGCACAACACAGGAGAAGCAAATGAGATAAGAATTTGTTTTCCTTTTTCTCTGAGGCTTCTCAGCTTCCCAGGAGAAAATCCTGGGCAAAGGGATTTTATCAGAGAATGTGAATGTGACAGGTATGAGCTGCAGGGAGCTCAGTATCTCAGGGGCTTCATCCTTCCCAGAGCAGTGTCAGGAGTTTGGGTGTCACTAATGCTCTAAAGAATCAGGGATTTGGTTGAACTCTCTATTCAGAGATCTGTGTTCTCTGTTTCTGAGCCAGTTCCAGGTGCTGCATGCCCCACTGAAGGACTGTGCCATCCATTTATTGCATGAAGTGTTGTTCTTCCCTGGGGCTGGATCTGGCTCTTAAGGCCCCTCTCCCTCAGTCCATGCTGAGCTGTCTGGAGCTGAGGGAGTTTTGCTCTTTGCTTCATTAACAATTCCAATTATATTTTATCAGTGTGAAGCCATTTCCCTTTGTCCTGCCACCTCCAGGCAGGTTTTTGTGTCACCTACCACTGCACAAACTACATAAAATTAATTGCACAAACTGCCATACAATTAAAGTACAAATCACTTTTTTGAGCTGTTTGGTTTTGTTTTTCTTTTTTTTTCCTCTCTCCTGAGTGCAGCACCTTTTGATGGGGATTTTACTTTTAGTGCTGCTTGTAATCCATCACCTTGGGGCTTTTTTTCCCTTCCTGCAGGGAAAATTTTGCTGACATGATCCGGGAGAATGTGAATTACCTGGATCTCTTCAGCAGCATTCTGCAGGAGGTGAGGCAGGAGCAGAACAGCATGATGGTAAGTGCTGGTGCATCTGCCAGGACCTGCCTTTCAGGGGACACCCTGGGGACATGGAGAACCCCTTGAACAGGAAAAAGGTGCTCCAAGCCCCATCCAGCCTGGCTTTGGACACTTCAGGGATTCAGGGACAGCCACAGCTTCTCTGGGTACCCTGTGCCAGTGTGCATGGATCCATGTTTCTTCCTAAAATCCCACCTAACCCTGCCCTCTGGCAGTGGGAAGCCATTCCCTGTGTCCTGGCACTCCAGGCCCATGGAAATAGTCTGTTTCCATCTCTCCTGTAGCCCCTTCAGGCCCTGCAAGGCCACAATGAGGTCACTCTGAAGCTTCTCCTCTCCAGGCTGAACAATCCAGCCTTTCCTCAGAGGAGAGAGGAGGCACTCACTCATCCTTTGGGAAATCCCAAACTGGAGTGGATTCACAGGGCTCCTGTGCTGTGCTGCACTGTATTAACTCCTGGGAACATCCTTGCTAAGGGCAATTTCTGATTTTTCATCGAACCCAGCAGCCAGACCCTGCCCTCAGTTGTTTTTTTTGCTCCTCTTTGCAGAGTTTTGACTGGAGCTGGCTGAAGTAGCCCCAGGAGCCGAGATGCTGCATCACCCAAGTGCCTTCTGTGTGCTGAGGGCCACCTTCCCTGTGGGACGTGGCGGTGTTTATTGACGTCACCGGTGTTTATTGACATCACGGGTGTTTATTGACATCACCGTGCCACCCACCAGCTGTCCCCCAGGGAGCAGCGTGGGCCTGGCCTGTGGAGCCTCCTCAGGGCGGGGGGCGCGGGCAGGGCCGTGTTCCCCATGAATGTATAGCGCGTGTATATATAATAAACTCTGTGCTGACACCCACCCAGGCTCTGAGGCCTGCTCCCTGCCGCGCCGCCATCGCCAGCACGCCGTTGCCTGGCAACCCGGGGGTGGGGTGACGTCATCGCCCCGCGCCGACGTGGCGAACCCATGGTGCCGCGCGCCGGCGCGCGTGCGCGGCGGGGGTGGGAGCGCGGCCTCGGCAGCACGTGGGGAACGGGACAGGTACGGGACCGGGAACGGGATAAGGGATAGAGATAAAGGTATGGGATAAAGGAACGGGACAGGGATCGGGATAAAGGAACGGGATAAGGAATCGAGATTGGGGTAAAGGAACGGGGTAAGGGATCGGGATAAAGGAATGGGATAGGTACGGAACAAGGAGCGGGATAAAGGAATGGGATTGGGATAAAGGAATGGGATTGGGATAAAGGAACGGGACTGGGAACGGGATAAGGGATCGGGATAAAGGAACGGGACAGGGATCGGGATGAAGATACGGGACAGGGAAGGGATTGGGATAAAGATATGGGATAAAGGAACAGGACAGGGATTGTTATAAAGGATCGGGATAAAGGAGAGGGTTTGGGATTGGGGTAAAGGAACGGGACAGGGATTGGGATAAAAGACTGGGATAAAGGAACGGGACAGGGATTGGGATAAAGGTACGGGACAGGGATCGGGATAAAGGACAAGGATTGGGATAAAGGAAGGGGACAGGTACAGAACAGGGTTTCGGATAAACGATAGGGACAGGTACAGGACAGGGATTGGGATAAAGGCTAGGGAGAGCTGCGGGACAGGTACGGGACAAGAACTGGGATAAAGAACAGGGTCTGAGATAGCATTCCAATCCCTGTGGAGTAAGGACAGCCACGGGGCAGGGCTAGGGGCAGGTGCAGGACAGGGATAGGGGCGGGACAGGGGAGCACGGGGATGGGGGCCGGGCGGTCCCTCCGGCGCAGCCCCGGTGCGGGCAGGGCCCTGTCCCTGTCCCTGCCCGTCCCTCCTGTCCTGTCCCGCCTGTGGCAGCAGCGGGTGTGTCCCTCTGCCGGGGCGGTGCTGACGCTGTTGCCGTGCAGGGCCCTGTCCCTATCCCTGTCCTGCCTGTGGCCGGTGGGTCCCGCTGACGCTGTTCCGTGCAGGGCCGGGCCCGCGGAGCCCCCGGGCCGGGAGGGGATGCGAGCATGGCCATGGCCCAGGCCGGGGCCGCGGCCGCCGCCGCTACCGGGCTCCTGGTCTTCCTGCTCTACTCCGCCATCCACAGGGTCGAGGAGGGACACCTGGCCGTGTACTACAGGTACAGAGCCCCTCCTGGGGCTGGCATCCATCCCTGGCAGCCATCCCTGCCCCCGGCATTGCTCTGTCCTCTGCTCCCCTCCGGTTTTCCCCTGTGTGGGCAGCCCTGGCTGCTTCTGCTCCCTTCACCCTTGGGTCTCTGAGCTGTTTCTCCTGCCTCTCCTTCCCCCCTGCCCTCGTCACAAACTGATTCCAGAGCTCTGGGTCTGTCCTGCCTGCTGGCATCTGCTGGTCTCTCTCTGTGCCAGCAAGAGCTGTCACCTTTGTCCCAAACTGTCACCCGGCCAGAGCTCTCAGTGTTGGTGCTTTGGAATGTTTTCCCTGCCCTTCCCACTCGGTGCACGAAAAAATTGGAAAGTAAAAATGTTCTTTATGGAATAAAGCACAATAAATTCTGTAAAGACCCTTTATCTGTAAAGAACTAGAGACTGTGCCACTCAAGGAAAAAAAATGAGTACAGAGGTTGCAGTTTTGTTGTTAGCTTGCGTAGAACTGTATTTTACTTAAGACAAATTTCAACTTTTTGCAGTGAGGGGGAACTAAACAAAAGCAGCCCATTTAATGTGCACACTAACAGCATCCATAGAGGAGAAGAGGAGAGACTGAGGACTGAAGGAAAGAGCACTCTGCAAAATGTGCAGCACTTGGGGAGACTGCACTGTGCCTGGGGAGGGGGTGACACCTCTGCCAGCTTTTGCTTCAAAGAGTTGACCAGGACTGCTGAGAGACTTCAGATGTTCCCCAGTTCCCTTTAACCACAGTTCTGCTGAGCATTAACACCTTGGGGGGTTTTCTCTGTGCTCTGGGCGAGGGGCTGTGCCAAAACCCAAACTGGCTGCATCACATCCACGGCTGGATTTTCCATGGTTACCAGAGAACTATTTAGAGGAGAAATCCGTGTTCTTGCAGCTCTGTGCAGTGTTGTTGCAGTGCTGGGAGGGTTTAGCAGTAGCTGCCTGCTCCAAGGGTTAAAGGCTTCATGCAAAGTTGCAGCAGGCAGAGATTGAGTGCACTCAGCCCTTTTGCTGGGGAATTGCTGGCGAATTCAGGGCACTGATGCAATTCTCTGTGACCCCTGGCAGTTTGAGCTGGCCCTCAAAGCCAGCCCTTGCTGTTTGCCACCTTCCTGAGGCTGTTTTCCTCCCTCTCCTCAGGGGTGGAGCGTTGCTGACCAGCCCCAGCGGCCCTGGCTACCACATCATGCTCCCCTTCATCACCACCTTCAAATCCGTGCAGGTCAGTGCCCTCTCCCTCCCCTGGGGAGCCAGGACTTGTCCTCCTGGAAAGCTCTCCCCACCCACCATGTGTGTGTGTGTGTGTGTGTGTGTGTGACACTGCTGGGACTGGCAGTGTCCTGCTCAGGGGGACAGTCTGTGTTTGTGGCTGTCACTGTTTCCTGGCATTCCAGAGCAGGGAAACAGGCACAGCTGCCTGTGCATCCCCCAAGAGGCAGGGGAGGAGAAGCTTTGCCTTCTGCCCACACCTGGAGCCATCACCAGGGAGGCACAGGACACAGTTTTGGCTCTGTGGTGCCACTGTGGGAGTCTGGGCCTCCCTGGGAGCCAGGTTTGTGAGTGCTGGCTGTGTTTGTGTTGCAGACCACGCTGCAGACTGATGAAGTGAAGAATGTGCCTTGTGGGACAAGGTATGGCTTCCACTTGAATTCCTCTAGATGCACTCCCTGGGGTCATTTGCAGGGCTGGGACAGAAGGGTTGGGAAGTAAAGGCACCTGCCATAAAATTAATCCCAAATGTACACACTGTAGCAGAACAGGAGGGAGCACTGGCTCCTGCTGGAGCTGCTCTTCAGAGGATGTTTGCATTTATTGTGATGTTATCTTGAATTTTTCTGGGCTTCTCCCCTCAGTTACTCTGACACCCCATTACTTTCTCTTTGCTGTGCCCTGGTTATTTCCACTCTGAGTCTTGTGGCTGATACAGATCCTGGCCCCAGCAGTGGGCAGAAGGAAGCAGGGAGTGGGAATCCTCCTGATGGGAGGGAGTTCATTTCCAGATGGAATTCCTGCTGCATAATCAGGCTGATTCTTCTGTCAGCACAGACCTGCTTGAGTTGTAACAAGCAGGACGAGAGGGCTGGTTGATTTGGGTTACAGATCCTGTTGTGTTGGTTCATCCACAAGTTAAAGTGATGACTCTTCAGGATTAAAAAAAAATCATGGTGATTCTCCTTGTCTTTTACATTCAGGGTCCTCAACAAAATTTCTGTTTAATAAAATAAATCAGTGGTGGCTGGAGTGGTGACACACAGTGACCACATGGAAATTAAAAGGTGAATGTTAGTGGCAATGTTATTAAAACAGAGTTAATTTTGATCAGGTTTAACTCATATTAACTATCTTGGAGTTGTTCAGCAACAGACATCGCTTGGGCTTAAATATTACCATAAAGGTCTCATGGTTTTGATTTCAGATCCCAAAGGTTTTTCAGGAGTATCTGAAGGTTTTTCAGGAGTATCTATTCCTTATATCTCACCTAAATTTCCTTTCTGTCAGTCTGAACCCATTCCCCCTTGTCCTGTCACTTCAGGGCCTTGTCCAGAGTCCTTTTGTGGTGAGGTGAACAAGATCAAAAGGTCAAAGGCTGAGGCCAAAGCCAGCCTCAACCATTCTGTGCTTCTGTGATTTAGGAGCTAAAAATGAAGTTCCTGTTGAATTTCAGTGTTGAGGGGTTCAGTTGTGCAATGCAGGTGGTTGGGAAGGTGCAGGCAGTAAAAATGGGCTTTAAAGCAGCAGACAGCTGGTGAAAGCAGTTCTCAGTTAATAATTGAATTCATCCTGACCAAAGTCCCAGCAGCCCTTCCCACTGCCCAGGTGTTGCTGCAGGAGCCTTTCAGCTGGCTGCATTTGGGATCCAAAGCCTGCAGCTGCTCAGTGCCCAAGCTTTGCATTCACATTTCCATAGTAAAACATGAGCTTATAAATAACAACTGCAACACACCTGCACTCTCACTGTCCCAGTTCAAAGTCTGCTACCAGAATAGAGCCTGAACAGTTTCAGGTTTTGTGTTTACATATCAAACCACCACATTTTAAAGGCTGGGTTTCTCTTTATGTTCCTGTTCCCTGTGTCCTTATCTATATCTGGAAGCTTCTGATTGTCTGTGTGGGTGTCCCATCCCCAATTTTTGCCTTACCTGTCTTGTTTGTACCTGGCAGCATTCAGTGAACACATTAAATAGAGATTTTAAACCCTGAGCTGGATCCTGAATTGTGTGAGGATTTCCAGGGTTTTCCTGCTACCCGTGTCCATCTCCTGTGGCATTCCCTGGATGCTGACTCCTTGTCCACTGCTGCCTAATTATGCTTAAACTTCTATGTGTTGATCCTCCTTTTATGGATTTCTCCTTGTTCCTCTCTCCCTGCAGACTTTGGGGTCTGAGTGGCACCTTTTTCCTCCAAGCCACTGCCTGACCAGCAGGACTGATAAAATGCCCTTATCCCTCAGCACACCACATCAACGCTCATGAATTATTCATAATAATGGAGTAACAGTGGGTAATTCCCCACTTGCTGTCCCAGCCTGGCTGAGCCCCTCAGCAGGGTTGCTGTGGAAGGTGGTGGCAGAGTCAGGCAGCCCTCACAGCTCTGAGGTGCCATTTCAGACCCTTCCCTGCCAGGGAGATGGTGTGGGGCTGTGGGTGAGTCCTGATAGGATCCAGGGTGGCTGCAGACACTCTCCTTTTCTTTCTGACATCTCTTTAAAATTGGAATACCAGATTTGCAGCACATCAGGACCATCCATCATCAGTGTTTTTAGCTCATATTGTCCTGAAGCAGGTTTGGAGCAAGCACAGGCTGGGCTTGGGAGGCCTTTTCCAAAAGAGCACAGCCACAGGCAAGTTCAGGTTGTTTTTTTATCCTGCAGACCTGGCTTTGAGCTGGCAGAGATCAAGATATCTGCAAAATAAGGAAAGGAGTTTGTCATGGGGGATCTGTTGAGTTAAAACATCCCAGAGACTGAGTTTGGGAATGTGGGAGTTGCACTGCCAGGAATGAGCTGTCTCTAAACAGTTCCTGCTGAAGCTTCTGGTCTGTGATATGCCTTTGTCCCCAAGGACATCATGGAGGAGTATTCTGCTTTAAAATTAGGCTCCCAAGAGACTTTAAGCTACTTAAAGGGGTTTTTTTCCTTCTCTGTAGAGTTCTGCTTTTCTCTGGTGTTACAGGTACAGGGGTGGGCATGGCTTTCTGAAAGCCACACCAGTGAGAGCAGAGGCTGGGGACAAGCCTGACCTCTGATTCCCCCCTTTCCCTGCCATCCTTTCTTGGGGAGAGGATTGCCTGCAGGCTGCCTCTGCTGAGGTGCTTGTGGGGTTCCTGGAGAGCTCCAGGAGATTGAAGTCTGCCATGTGCTTTTTTCCTTCCTTTCTCCTGGGCCTTGCCAAGCCCCTGCTGGAGTTAGTGACTGTGAATTAAACTAGGGGCTTTTTCTATTTGACACATGTTGCTGCCCAGAGGAGCTGAGGTGTGTCTGCATTTGGTGGCAGGTGTCACCTGTTGTCCTTGCTGCCTTCTCCTGTGCTTTCCTGAGAGCTGCAGCCACATTCCTGTTCAGAAAAGCTTTCCTTTGACTGATTGAGTAGGAAATCAGAAATGGGAAGGAGGGTGCTTTGCACGTTTGCTGGATTTATGCAGAGAGAAGGACTGGGATTGGCTGTTATCTCATTGCAAAATGCTCAGAATATTGTAAAATAGGGATAAAGATTCTTTTGCTTTAAATATGTTAAAAGAGGGATGAAGATGCCTTTGCTTTAAATCTGTTAACTGTTAGAATAGGGATGGAGATGCCTTTGCTTTCAATCTGTTAACTGTTAAAAGAGGGATGGAGATGCCTTTGCTTTATGTCTGTTAACTGTTAGAACAGGGATGGAGATGCCTTTGCTTTCAATCTGTTCACTGTTAGCAGCTGCAGAGGTGGCTGATGAAGTCTCTTTCCCTTGCAGTGGTGGTGTTATGATCTACATTGACCGAATAGAAGTTGTGAACAAGCTGGCCCCATATGCAGGTATTTCCTATCCTGGTTCCTCAGGCAGAGCTGTGACTGTCTTCACTCATCCTGGGCAGCTCTGACTTGGTTTGCAGGACTTCCATTTTCCATGCCTGGAGAACTTCCCTCTGTTTCCATTTCTTGTTACCCTTATGGCTCCTGTCCTGTAGTGTTGGTCCCAGGTGCTTCAGCTCAGCTCAGAGGAAATTGCAGAGACAGAACCCATGTAGGAGCCTCTTACCTTCTTATTTCACCAGCCCAAAGACACAGACAGCTTGCTTTGTTCAGCAGCACAGCTTAATGTAAACCTCCAGCACTGCTGAGGCACTGGTGTAATTCAGAGTCATGGAGGGGTTTGGGCTGGAGGGGACCTTAAAGCTCAGCCCATCCCAAATTCTGCCATGGGCAGGGACACCTTCCACTATCCCAGGCTGCTCCAAACCCTGTCCAGCCTGGCCTTGGGCACTGCCAGGGATCCAGGGGCAGCCCCAGCTGCTCTGGGCACCCTGTGCCAGGGCCTGCCCACCCTCACAACCAAGAATTTCTTCCATTTATCTCACCTAAATTTCCCCTCTGTCAGTGTGAACCCATTCCCTGTGTCCTGTTCCTCCAGTCCCTGTTGCAGGGTCCCTCTCCAGCTCCCCTGTGTCCCTTCAGGCCCTGGCAAGAGCTGTGAGGTCTCCCCACACCCTTCCCTTCTCTGGGCTGAGCATTCCCAGCTCTCCCAGCCTGGCTCCAAGGGAAGATGCTCCAGACCCCCTCAGCAACTCCATGGCCTCCTCTGGACCTGCTCCAACAGTTCCAACATGTCCTTCTCCTGTCTGTGGGGGGGGAGCAGGCCAGAGCTGTGCACAGGGTTCCAGGGGGGGCCTCAGCAGGAGCAGAGGGAGAATCCCCTCCCTTGACCTGCTGGCCATGCTCCTTTTGGTACAGGATCTGGTTGGCTTAAATAATGGGAGTGATCCTTGTTTTCCCTTTCCAGCAGTACCTGCTCCTGTGCATGCAGGTGCTGGTGAGGCTTTGCTGTTTCATTTGTTTATGCAGATGATAAAACAGGACCAGGCAGTACATCCTGCCATGGCTGCTCCTTGAAGTTGTGTAATCCCAGCAGCACCTGACAGCTGGGCAGGGCAGCTGTGGCTTTGGCTACTGAAAAACCCCTGTCCCAGTGCTGCCCTCCTTCCCTGACACCCTGACAGGTGCCAGTGGTGAGCTGTGGTGTTCTCTCCCTTCCCCAGTGTACGACATCGTGAGGAATTACACCGCAGACTACGACAAGACCTTGATCTTCAACAAAATCCACCACGAGCTGAACCAGTTCTGCAGTGCCCACACCCTGCAAGAGGTGTACATCGAGCTCTTTGGTGAGTGCCTAGCATGGCAGCTGGGTGATGCCAGCTGGGATCCCACTGGAATATTCCTAGAGTATCTTACAGCCAGCCCCTTGGACCACACTGCCCCTGTGCTGGAGTTGCAGTGTAGGATCCAGCTCCTTTCACATCCATCTGCCACTCCCCCTGTAACTTCAGTGACTCAGGTGTCTCTGTTGTCTCTGTCTTTCCCCATTTGCATGTGGGAATTTGATTTCAGTCTTTTTCCACCTTTTTTTCTGGATGCACAAAGCAGCCACTCTGCTCCTGTGTGTGCAGTGATGCCTGTGGCCTTCACTATGACAGTGGATTTGTCTTATTCTGCTTCTGCTTTTAATCCCCAGCTCTGCTGCTGAATTCACTTTTTGTACTTTCACAGCTTCCTCCTGGCTGTCTCTAACAAGTGAGAGCTGGAAGGTGTTTCACAGGGAGGTAGCAGTGCTTCAGCAATTAGCACAGGTCATACTCTCCTTGGTGGACCTGTGCCCCAAAGACAGAACTGGTTCTGTTCTTCTTGAGTGGCTGAGCAGGGCAAAAATGGCTTGTGGCAGATAAAAGGTTGTCAGAATTTTAATATTAATGTACTCCTAGTCCAAGTGCTGAGAAGGGAATAGACTCTGAGCATTCTGTCTTGCTGAGATGCTGAAATCCACTTGCACTTAGTTCAGATAACACAAATCCATCAACAGCTGAACTTTTCTAGTCACCAGCATGTAAGTGTCTTTTGGGGAATGTTTTTCAGGGGGCATAGGAAGGGAAACAATGTACTGAATGTCTCAGGAAGCATCCTTATCTCACACTCTAGAGTTACCTGCTCTTCAAGGCCTGCTGGCTCTTTGCCACACAAGCTGTGGGGGAAAACATGATAAACCAACTGGTCTCTCTTTTGTCTTCCAAACACAGATCAGATAGATGAGAACTTGAAGTTGGCCCTGCAGAAAGACCTCAATGTCATGGCACCAGGTCTCACTATCCAGGTGGGTTGTGGCCTCTCAATAATGAGAGATTTTAAAAGGTGGAGAAAGACTTTTTGCCAAAGCCTGCAGTGACAGGACAAGGGACAGCAGTTTTAAACTGAAAGATGAATGTTTTATGCTAAGGGTGGTGAGGCCCTGGCACAGGGTGCCCAGAGAAGCTGCCCCTGGATCCCTGGAAGTGTCCCAGGCCAGCTTGGATGGGGCTTGGAGCCTCTGTCCCTGGTGGGAGTGTGGGTTGGGATGGATGGCAGGAAATGGAAATGTGGGACACCTCTGGGAGAGTGACCATGCTCAGCTGTATGGCACAGGAGGATTAGGCACCACTGTCCACAGCACTGCAGCTGGTTTTGCAAAGAGATATCTCAGTTATTGAGACTGCATCAAAGTGTTCCATTCAAAGTGTGCTCCCTTTTTCTGCTCTCACAGGCTGTGCGTGTCACAAAACCCAAAATTCCAGAGGCCATCCGGAGAAACTTCGAGCTAATGTGAGTAGCTGGGCATAAAATTGCATTAATTACTTCTGAGGGTCCTGCACAGGCACAGTGATGTTGGAAAGCTCTTCCCTGGTGCTCAGGGAGTGAGAGGTGAGCTCCAGCCAGAGTGTGCTTGGCCAGCTGTGCTTGTGCCTTCTGTTTTCCGTTTCCATGCTGAAATCAGGGCTCAGGATCTTGATGTCTTGCCCATAGGCTGCCCTCCAGGATCTCTGGGGTGCCTTTGGGCAGAAGGAGATGCTGTTAGGTCTCAACCTTTGGTTGAGCAAGCCTAGCTCCCAGCCCACATTGCCCTGTTCCTCATCCTGAAGGCCTCAGACTGGACTTGCATCCAGATGTGGCCAGATGGAGAAGGGGATGATCCTTCCTCTGGCCTGTGTGTGTGCTCATACAGCTGCAGACAGAGCCAGTCCCCATGGCTGTGAGCAGGGAGCTGGCAGCTGGCTGGCCCCTTGTCCCTGTGGCCTCTCCTGGGATGCAGAGCTGCTCTATCAGCGATTGGAAAGATGGGGGAGACTTTGAGATGGTCAAAGAATCCAAATTTAATGTGAAGTACAACTGCTTATATACTTATTCTAGGAAGATTTGTAATGTTTTACTACAGTGATTGGGTTAATCGTCACATAAACAAACTTACACATTTTCAACATCTCTTGCTTGCAGAAGTCAATGTAATTTCCTTTTTCTGGTAAACCAGTCTGATTAAATCTTCTTGCAATCTTGATTGGATTCTCAAAGTTCTGTTTGCTCTTGCCAAGGCATTTTGTTTATCACATCTCTTATGCTAATAAGGTCCAAAGTACTCCCTGTTTTGTGTTTTGTACCCCAGTACTGCTCCTCATTCCCTTTCCCCAGGATAACACTTCTCCCCTTGCAGGGAGGCTGAGAAGACCAAGCTGCTGATTGCAGCCCAGAGGCAGAAGGTGGTGGAGAAGGAGGCAGAGACAGACAGGAAGAAAGCACTCATTGGTAATGTCAGCAGCCCAGGCTCAGCCTCCATTCCTGCCTTCCCTGCTAAGGTGGGGCAGGACATTGTCTTCCTCACTGGCAGCTCCCTGAGGGAGGCTCAGGCAGGCTGCACAAGCAGTTCTTTGGAACATCTGGGTGAAAATCCCACAGCAGCAGAGCAGGGAGCACCTCTGTCCTGCAGCAGGGATGGAGGAAATCACTCTGCTGGAAAAGCTGCTTGTGCTTGGAGCTCCATGTCCCCGTGCTTGTAAACAGGATGTCAGCTCTGCAAACACCAGCACTGTGTTTTCTTCCTGTAAAGAAAGGAAGAAAACTCTGCTGCTTGGAGCACAGAGTGGGAAGGGAGGGAGCAGGGAAGTGTGGCAGACCCTGCAGCCAGGTGCTGGGGTCAGGCTGCTGGTGCTTAAGGCCTGAGGTGCAAATTTCCCAGCTGGGCCCTTTGTGATTGCAGAGGCAGAGAAGGCTGCTCAGGTGGCCAGGATCCACTACCAGCAGAAGATCATGGAGAAGGAAACGGAGAAGCGGATTTCTGAGATTGAAGGTGAGCACACTGCTGGGGCTGGTGGCAGGTGGAGGAAGCTCAGAGCTGCAGAAGCCATCGAGGGTGCTGCATGGTGCAAGGCTGTGCACTGGGATGGTTCCTGCCCTGTGCATGGAGCTCTCCAGGAAGCTGCAGGGCAGGGACAGGGCCAGCCAGGCACTCCTGGCTCAGCTGGTCCCCATGGGGTGAGGGCTCAGGTGCTCAGTGTGATATGGGGCCCTGCACTTCCTAATGCTTTGTTCCCTGCCCCTCCTCTGCTGCTGTGTTAGATGCTGCATTCCTGGCAAGGGAGAAGGCAAAAGCTGATGCAGAGTACTACACTGCTCGCAAGCTGGCTGACTCCAACAAGGTGAGCTCTGGGGAGCTGCTCACTCACTCAGGGCAGCACTGGGGGAACTCTTGATCTGACAGCCCACACCCTGTCGGGGTCTCTCGCTGGTCACAGTGACCCCGAGATAAGTTAAAAAGTCTCTTTTCCCAGCCCGGTGCTTGAAGAAGGAGTCAGAGCTCTTCATTTCTTGTTCTCAAGGTTGTTTATTGTATCTTATCTGTAAAATTCTTTCTCCTGTCCTGCTGAGGTGTGCTCAGCACGACAGCCTGAGGCACTCTGCCTGTCCCCAGGGCAGTGTCTTTATACTAAAAACTATGTGTACAATATTTACCATAACTTCCCAATACCTATCACCTATGTTAGACAGTCAGCTTCTGTCTAAACCAATCCAAAAGTGCCACCATCACAGCAGAAGATGGAGGCCAAGAAGAAGAAGGGCTGGACACACCCAGATCCCTCCATCTTGCCCCCTGAACCCCCATTCTAGAAACCCCAAAATCTATTTTTTCATCCTGTGATAAATTCACTATCATTCTACTTAATTTGTCATGGCTTGCAGATCTTCATCTAAGGTTGGGAACTTGCTCCATGGGTCATAATCAAACCCACAGGGGCATTTTGGGCTCTGTGCCAGGGTCTCTGAGACCCTGCTCCCTGCTCAGGACAGCCAGAGGGATGTCCTGGGTCCTGACAACACCCCATGAGGGGCTGCCTGACATGAAACCTAGCACCACAGGGCACAGAAAATTGTCTCTTAGGGTCTCTGGTTTCTGTTTCTTGCAGCTGAAGCTGACCCCTGAGTACCTGGAGCTGATGAAGTACCAGGCCATAGCTGCCAACAGCAAGCTGTACTTCGGCGACCGCATCCCCGGCGTGTTCCTGGATTCCTGTGCCTTCCAGCAGGCCAGCCTGAGGACTGCCCACCAAACCAGCCTTCCTGCACAGGAAAGCCCAGAGAGCCCTGGAGAAAGCCCCCTGAGAGGCGAGGAGAGCAGTGGCTGAGGGAGGCACAGGGAGCCCGGTGTAGCTCAGCAGGAGCCCGGCTGTGCCCGGGGACGAGGCCCTGTGCGCTGGGGCGGATGCAGCACCCGCCCGCCTGCCTGCCTGGACATCTTGGGTGTATAGGTGGCAGCTGGGTTGATTTTCTTCTAGCAACAGATCACAAGGGCTCTGCCTCTTCTGTTTGTCCCCCTGTGAAATTGGTGCTTCCAAAGGAGGGATAATCCTGTACTAACATACCTATACTGGAATATTAAACGACAGACAGCAGGAAAGCCTCCCGGGGTAGGTGCAGTTATTTAGCAGGAAGGAGATGTGGCTCTGAGTGCTGTGTTGCTGCACGCTGGTCATTGCTCAGCACTCCTGGCTGAGGCTGAGTGAAGAGGAGGTTCCCCTTGTCCTGCTGCTGAAGCTTTGCTTGGTGAAGGTTTCTGCTGATGCTGTCTCTCTCTCCTCAAGGACTCCAGTGGAGTGGACTCTCCTTGGGCAGCGTGTTCCTGCTGGGGGCAAGGAGTGGTTTGCTGTGGAATAGCTTATGGGAGTAGGATCTGCACAGCCCTGATACTCCTGCAGACAGCAGTGCTACATAACAACTTGGGAGGAAGCAGCCTCTGAAGGGATTCTGTGAGCCCCCTCTCCAAGCAAGAGCCTTGCCCTGGCTGCCTGGGACTGACTGTGATGCTCCCACTGGGTGGCTGAGTCTCATTGCCTCCTAAACCAGATTTTCAGGAGCACCTCGGAGCAGCTGGTTGGGAACAGAACCTGGCAAGTCTTTGCTCAGATTCCAGCCTCCCTGTAAGTCATTCAACAGGGAAAGGGGGCTGAATTTCCACTGCTCTGCCGTGCTGGCAAAGTGAAGGGGAAGAGAGGAGTGAAAGGACCCTGCTGTGCAGCAGATCAGATGTTTGACACCTCAGCTGCAAAGTAGGTGAGGAATCTCTGCTCCTCCATGCAAAATCTACTGCTCCAGGAAGTGGAACCTGCTTTGTATGTCCTTGAGCAGCCATGGCAAGGAGGTTGTCCCTGGTCCTCTCATCCCTGGCCAGGCTTGCTGGCAGATGGATCTTCTGTCCTGATCTGTGCTGTGATACATCCAACTCTGCTCCTTCCATGGCAGGGTGAGGGAGAGGTGCTCAGGGAGGGGGGAATCTGCTGGGACAAACCTGCTTTCTGCTTTCCCTCCTTCCTGCCCCTGCTTGTGAGGATGTGCTTGCTTTTAGGACCTGCTCCTCCTCCTCCTCGTGTTCTGTGAGGATCTGGGGTGCAACACCTGGGGAAGCAGCTGGCAAGAGCTGGAATGCCATCCTCCAGCTGGGAGCACCCAGCACTGCCTGCTGCATGTTCAGAGACCTCTCCCTGTGCATCCCTCCTGCTGTCCTGTCCCCTCAGAGCAGCCATGCCACCCTTGGAGGGGCTGGGGGGTGGTGACACTCTGGCCACTTGACCTTTTGAAATCCTCTGTCCCTGGCACCATCTACAGCCTCATGGGGAGGGGAGGGATATGTTTATCTTGTGCCACTGGGAAACATTCAACCCAGGCAGCTTTGCCTGTGCTGGTGATGTCCCCAGAGGAGCTGTGTGGGTTCTGCAGTGCTGTGTCCCCACCCTGTGTGGCAGAGTCCCCAGTGGCACATGGTGCCTCCTCCTGCTGTCCCTGCTCCTGCCCTGGCTGCCCTCCTCCATCTCTGGGGCACAGCAGGGTTGTGTTGGCCCTGCCCCTTCTGACATAACTGTGGGAGTTCACAGCAGTTTTGGGTGGTCTTTCTTGTTCTCTTTGCCTGCAAACTCCCGAGGCTCAGTTGATGTTCTGCTCCAGGATCCCAGCTCCTCTTCCAGCCCAGCCATGGCAGGAGCAGGGCACCAGGGCAGAAAGGGGGTGGCAGTGTGTTTCATAGTGTTTGAAATGTCTTCTGGAAATACTGCTTGGCTTGCAGGGTCCCTTTTTTTTGCTGTGGGATGGCTTTGAGGAAGCAGTGTAGTCTCATCTCTGCCCTGCCACCTCCTCAGTGTTGCAGCAGGCCCTTGGCACAGACCTCCCCTCACCCCAGCAGCACTGCTTTGGTTGGAATTTGGGATGAGGCCTGGCTTTATAGGCTAGAAGCACTGCTGGAGGGAATGCTGGCAGGAACGTGGTCTCCACAATTTTCTTCATGTTACTGGGGGTGGGCACACTGGGCATCAGGAATGGCTGGACAGAGTAGGTTCTGCCAGCCTGGAAGTGACAAGGGCAGAGGGAACTGCTGGGAGCAATAAGCAGGCAGTTCACAGCTCCCCTGCAGTGATCAGAGCACGATGTCCATGCAGGGAGCAGGAAAGCCTGCCAGGCCAGTGCAGGAGGAGCTGCTTCCCTTTGGATCTGAGCCTTGCTGTGCCTCCCTGCGCCATGGCTTTGCCTTTAGTGGCTGTCACTGGCCCAGTGTCCCTCTGTATGCATCAGCCACCTCCCCACATGGTCTGAGGGACCCCAGGGGCTGCCCCCGTGGTGCCAGCTCCTGCAGCAGCATGTGTGGTGCCCAGTGCCTTCTGCAGCAGCCTTCCCCACCCTTCCCTGCTTCCCCAGCCCCAGTGTGTGCAGGAGGGGGTGGCCACGGCTTTGTCACCCTGGTGTGGGCTGTGCTGCCCTCTGAGCCCCAGCTATGAGCAGGGACGTGGCTGCAGCCAGGATTTTGGGATGGAACTGGCTTTTCTCTCCGCTCCCATGGCCTGTGACTAAAGGGGTCTGTCCCTGGATGTGCATCTCCTTAAGGAAACACGATACATCCGGTCAGGTTTACATTCACAGTTCAGTTCTTTTGATAAAGCAGAATAAAATTATTTTGTTACCATTTTTTTGGGATGGTTTTATGTGTCCTAGGTCTGGTGGCACACGAAGTGGGGGGACCCCTCTACCTGTCCCCCTGCAGCAGCACTGCATGGTGTGGATGTCCTCAGCTGCAGCGGGTGCCACCCTGGGAGCCTGTGCTCAAGGCCAGCCACAGCCAGGATGGTGCTGAGCATGAGGGGACTCCCTGCAGCATCCTGGGGCAGCCTGGCTCTGCGTGCCTGCCAAAATGTGCTGCAGTTTGGCCCCTGTGGCTCTGGCACTGGATTGGGAAGTTCAGCTCCACCCTTTTCCCCTTCCATGATCCCTGCACAGCTCCCTGCCTGCTGCCACCCCGCTGTGCCCTCCTGCCCAGACACACCCCATGACACCTCTTCCTTCAGTCTTTATTGGTATAAAAGCCTTGAACCTAAATTATATCAAAAATGGGAGGACTGGTTTTACAGCAAGTGGCTCAAAATGGTCACATGAGGGTCATAAATAAATGGCTGCAGTAAAACGGCTCCCAGGGAATTCCCTTTTGAGCACTCAAGGAGTAACTCCAGAGAGAAAAGCCCCGTGGGGAGGCCAAGCCCAGCTTGGACGTGCCACAGCCCCTGCAGGGTGACATCTGCCTGTGTGATGTCCCCAGCCAGGGCAGGTCCCCACGGAGCTGTGCTCTTCCTGCCCGGTGATGCCAGGAGCTGCTCCCCACAGCCCCGGCAGGGAAGGGCAGGAGCACAGGACACATTCAGGACGTCGGGAGAGAAGGCAGCAGCTCCCAGGGCTCAGGAGAGCCTGGGCCAACGTGGGTTGGTCCCCCAAACCGGAGCTGGCATTGTCCCCGCTCCTGCTTTCCTTGGGAAGCCCCGGCTGGCGGCTCCCCCTGGGACAACCCTGAGGCTGCCGAGTCCATTAAGGCACAACTCGAGGATCTGTAAACACTGGTGCCCGCCCCGGGCAGGGCCCGAGGCTCCAGCCGGCAATTCAAGTAAGGGTGGCAGCGAGACCATGGCTCCCCAGCGGTGCCACCCGCCAGCGGTGCCACCCACCAGCGGTGCCACCCGCCCGGCGGTGCCGCTCCTCGCAGCATCCTTGGTCACCTCCTGCCTGCGGGCGGCTTCAGGGCCACCTTGGGCGGGGGACACCGCTGAAAGGGGCTCGGTGGGAGGGTCGCTGCCGGCGGCCCCTCGCCCTGGCTCGGCGCTTTGCTCTTCAGCGCTGGCAGAGGTTTGCTCGGCGGCTTCGGCTTCGCCTGGCGGGAGGAGAGACCCGACTGCCTCACCCGGGCACCCAGCAGGGACCCGGAGGTGCAGGGCCGGAGGAAGGGCCCCCCAAGCCACCAGGCTGGGCCACCCCCGCACAGAGGGGCTGGGGCCATGGGGAGGGCAGGGTAGGGTAGGGGAGGGTAGGGGAGGGCAGGGGAGGGGAGGTTACCTGCGGGGGCCATGCCGGAGGGCACCGAGGTGGCCCCGGTGACCGCGGGGCCAGCACGGGGCTGTGAGGCCGGGCCGCCCGCGGGGCCGCCGTGCTGCTGAGCAGGCTGGGCTGGCCGATGTCCCCGCGGGACAGCTGGCGGCGACCCGGCCGCGCCCGGCCGCCCTCCTGGAACAGCGGGTTGGCGAGGCCGGAGGGAGTCCCGCTGGAGCTCCTGTGGGACACGGGCACCGTGTGGGGCTGCTCGGGGCACATCCGGAGCTCAGCCCCGCGCAGCCGGGACGGGAATTACCCTTTGTGCGAGCGCCGCGCCGCCCTGGCTCTCAGGAGCACCGCGCCGCCGGCCAGCCCGACCCCGGCCAGGGCCAGCACGGCCAGCCCGGCCGCCAGCACCGCGCTGCCGCTCCCTGCGGGGACCAAACCGGGCGCTCGGGGACGGAGCAGCACCTGGCAGCGGTGCCAGCCCCCTCCCCAGGCCCCCTCCTCGGCACCCTACCTGCGGCGATCCCCGAAATCTCCTGCTCGCAGTAGGGCGCTGCCCAGCCCGGGTCGCAGTGACATTCGCGCCGGTGGTTGCACACCTGGAGGAGGGGACGGAGCGGGTCAGGGCGGTGGCCGTGCCGCGGGGCCCGCAGCCGCTCCGGGAGCGGCCATCCCGGCGCCTACCCCGTGGTTGTTGCACTTGGCCGAGCAGTTCTTGTCGCCGTAGACCAGCAGGTTCTGGCAGCGCCCGGCGTAGCAGACCTGGGGGCAGGCAGGGGAGGCTCTGAGGCTGTCCCGGGGCCGGTGCTCACCCTGCCCGGCCCGGCACGGCCCCGGCACGGCTCTCACCATCTCCTCGCCGCACTTGGCGCCGGTGGGCACCAGCCGCAACTCGGCCGCCTCGCCGGCGTCGCTGCCCGCGATCACCGCCTTGCACTTGAAGCGGCCGAAGTAGTAGCCGAAGGAGTAGTAGCCGGTGCCCAGGATGGGCTGGGTGTTGTCGCTCAGGCACAGCAGCGTGCCGCACTTGACATCCCTGCGGGACACAGCCGTGAGCGCCGGCCCGGCCGGGCTGGGGCTCCCCCCGCGCCCCCGTCCTTACTTGGGGCTGCAGGGCTGCTTGCCGTACTCGGTCAGGCAGTGCAGGTGAACGTGCTGCTCGCTGTTGTGCTTGAAGCAGACGTCGGGAGCCACCTGCGCCTCTGCGGGACACACGGGAAGGGTCACACGGAGCCCGCTTTGGGATCGGCAGTGTAGTGTAGGAGGGGACGGCAGCCGGGCGAGGCGCTGGCCCGGGGCGCATCCCGCAGCTGGTGGGGCAGGAGGATGGGCAGGGAAGGGGCCCTACCTGCGCCCCAGAGCGCCCGGCACTGCTCGCCGTGCGAAGGGCAGGCCCCGTTGTAGCAGTAGCCGCTGCCGTGCTGGCAGGAGATGCCGTTCTCCTGGAACACATCCTCGGGGCACTCGGCGCTCAGGCCGCTGCAGTGCTCGGCGAGGTCGCAGTCGTTCTTGCTGGCCCGGCAGAGCGTTCCTGCAGCCTTCACCTGCACGGAGAGCAGGGGTGTCAGCACTGCCTGGGTGCTCTCGCTTCTCCAGGACTCGGACCGGCTCTTGCCCTGCTTAGGAGCCTGCCGAGCTGCTCCCCTCGGGCGGCAGTACCTTGCAGTCCTGGCAGCATTCCCCTCGGGCACACTCGGCTCCCTCTCTCAGCTGACACGTGGTGGCATTGCAGCAGCGGTCCGAGCACTCCTGCGAGACAGGGATGGAATTAAACCCTCCTGCAAGCCCCTGAAGGACCCTTTCCTTCCTTTCCAAGGGGACCAGGCTGCCATGCCGCCAGGTGGCCGTAGCGGTGTAGCTGCCACGGGCTGAACCACGGGCCAAAACCACAACAACATCCCAGGCGGGCACATTCCTGCTGCCTCTTTATCCCCATTACCAACACCAAACCAAAAGACCAGAAAGGACTTTTTCAAAAGATGGACCTTGAGCTGGTTCCCTTTGCACGTCTCCAGGAAGGAGAAAAAGTGAGGATTTCTGTGCTCCCTGGATGAGGGGAACATTCCTCAGGTGCCAGCACAGGGCTGTGACCAGGGATTCATCCCAGAGGCAGTGCCTGTCTGTCTTAATTCCAACATGCTGGTAGAGATGAGGAAGAGCTGAGCACCACTCTTGAAAGCATGTCCCGATGTCCCCTCCTGGAGGGGGACACCTTTGGGGATGTCCATCTTTCCTAGGCTAAAATCACAACCAGCTACACGATGGAGGGGCACACACCAACATCCTCTGCCCGTTATTTTTTGCCAGGAGCATCAGGAGCTGGGCAGCTCCTAGGCCCCTGCTGGCCCCCTCGGGACAGCGTCCCCACCTGGGGCGTGCCGCAGTCGCACTGCTCTCCCCGCTCCACGAACTGGTTCCCGCACACCGGGCCCCCGTAGAGCTCGTCGGCCCGCGGGGCGTTCAGCAGGCAGCTGGTGCGGGGGTCCCCCAGGAACTGCCACATGTCCTGCTCGCTGCACCGGCTGAAGAGCTTGGGGTACACCAGCCTGCAGGGGCACAGAACCGGACACCATCAGCAGAGAGCCCCGGGGGAAGCGGGAGGGACACCCACCCGCTCAGAGGCATCTGCAGCGTGGGAATCGGAAACATAGGAATTCCCACAGACACTGGAGGGTTTGATCTGCAGCCTTGGGAGAAGCTTGGATTGATGTAAAAATACAATACACAGATATTAAACAGAAAAACTATAAACTTGTGTTTCTACAGTTGCAAGTAATAATTTGCCTTAAGTGAGAAACTGCATTGATAAGATGGTGAAGGGTTTATAATGTAGAAAACTGCATTGTTAAGATGGTGAAGGGTTTATAATGTAGAAAACTGTATTGATAAGATGGTGAAGGGTTTATAATGTAGAGGTGTGGTCGTATGGGGTGAGCTGAGAGTTTAGAAGTTATAATAGAAGCAGATGTGTAGAAGTGTGGCAGAAGCCCATTGGGCAAAAGTATCCACAGTGAAGCAAAGGTGATAGGTTAGAAAAGCAAAATGAACCTTGTGGCACCTATCCATTGGTTTAGAAAGCTCTATATTGCCTTGTAACAAAGAACTTGTGACTACTTTGAGCTATGGCAGACCGCTTGCTCCTCTGAAATCTCACAGCCTCTGAGACTGATGTTTATCTGAGCAATAAATCATTCTTAGCCCCCCCAAAAATTCCCATTCCTTCATTAAAAAGCAGTGACAATGATATGCAGTGAGGTGGGGTGGGGTGGAATGTCCACCCAGCCCTGACCATCTCACCGGTTCCACCCCCTCAGGGCACCCTGCCACTGGGTGCTTTTGCTGCCCAGGGCTGTCCCCCTGCCTCCTTCACTCACCCCACGCTCCCTGCCATGACGCAGCCCCCGTCAGCTTTGGGGACAGGGCAGCGGCAGCCGGCGACGTCCTCGTCGTGGGACATGCCCAGGTTGTGCCCCATCTCGTGAGCCATGGTGGAGGCAGCTCCGATGGGGTTCGTGCTGTGGTCCTGTGGGACAAGGGGCTCAGCCTGGGTTAAAAGCCCTTCAGGTTTCTCCTTGTGTCTCCTCACACTGCCATGCTCAGGGAAGGGACAAGCTGGACGCGGTCCTGTGGCCCCTCAAGATGCCCAGGTTGGTCTCTCAGGGCTGTCAGTGAGTTTAGACAAAGTGGCTGCTCCAAAAATGATGCTTTTTGGTGGGTCTGGGAGGGCACAGGTCCCACAGCCTCCTTGGGAGGGATGAGGAGCACAGCCAGTCCCAGCCACCTGATAGCCTCCTAAAATCCCAGCTCCTGTGTCCGTGGAGCTTCTCTGGGAGGCTTCCCAGGTGCACCAAAGGTAGCACAGGTACCCAGCTGGGTGTCCACAGCCCCAGCACCGCTCTGGGGGTCAGTCACTTAGGGGACAGAGAGGCCAGGGACCAAACCCAGCTGTGAGGCTGCAGAGGGGGACAGCTGGGGACCAGTGGAGGAGGGGGTGGCCCTGAAGGACACAGTGCAGGGAGGGCAGGGCACAGCACCCACCTGGTTGACGCCGCCCGAGTCCCTGGTGCACATCACCAGCTTCTTGGCCAGCCCCACGGTGTTGCCATGGAAATCAACACCCCTGTGGGATGGAGATGCCACCATGGCCACGTGCCCTGGGCGGTGGCAGGGCTGGCAGGGTGGCAGGGTGGCGGCTGCCCCGTGTCCTTACGTGATCAGCTGGGCGTTGTCGTGGGGCTTCTTCCTCAGCAGCTCCGACTCCCGCCAGTGCAGGAAGTTGTCCAGTGTCACCTCGGGGTTGGGGCTGACTGTGATTTTGTCCCTGTGGTTCCACACCTCCAGGCCAATCAGGGCCACCCGCAGGCGAAGGGGCTGGTACAGCTGGGGTGGGACACAGCCCAGAGCGAGCCTGGATTTGGGCTGCAGCAGCAGCAGCAGCAGCAGCAGCAGCAGCAGCAGCAGCAGCAGGGAGGTCCCACCTGCCCCAGGGAGCTGCAGCCCAGCCCAGGACACTCCTAACTGGGCAGTGTCAGCTCTGTCACCTCAATAAATGACACAAGCTGGGGTGACCACGGACACAGGATTGCCCCCCAAACCTCTGGGCTCTCTCTTGGCTGGTGAAGGCTGGGATGTGGCTCCCACACTGCTAATCAACAACTGGGGCTGGAGCAAAGCCACCAGGAAACCCAGCATGGCCCAATGCCTCCCTCCCTCTGTAAGCAGCCACTCCAGCCTGAGAGTGGCCATGGGATGGACTCCCAGAGGTTACAGAACAAAATTTCCCTTGTGGGCAGAGCTGAGCACTCATGTCCACGCTACACATGTGGTTGGCCGAGGGATGTGGTCACCCTGTGGGCCTGAGGGTGGCTCCAGCTCCACCACCCCACCCGTGCCAGGCTCTGTGCCACCTCCTCTGTGCCCACACTGGAGCTGGGAGGGGGGATACAGAGCCCTGGGCTCACCTTGTCCACGTGGTTCACGATTTCCTTCATGCGGTTCTGCACCGTGCGCAGGTCCTTGTGCTTCCTGAACTGTGGGAAGGACACAGAGATGTTCCCAGGGTGAGCTCCCCACTGCAGGCTGTGCCAGCAAACCCCCAGCACCATTCTCCCCACTTTACCTCCTGGTTGTCTGCCACCAGCACCAGCTCCACGTATCGGGGACCTTTTTGTACCGGACCTGATTTCTGGAAGGGAAGAGGAAAGGGGGGCTCAGCTTGCAGCTTGCCAAAGCACCAGCTGACCACATCCCATGGGGTGTGCCGGATCCTGGAGGACCTCCAGGGTCAGCAGGTCTCCTAGCTCAGCTCTGGGATGTTGTTTTGCTGGGTTTCAGACTTCTTCCAACTGGCATGCTGGGAAACCCAAGCCTGCTGCTGGGATGCTGTAGCCCCACATTTCTCTTCACAGAGAAAAGCAAGGCACAATTCTTCCCAAGAATATTTCTGGGATCCACGTTCTCTGAACCTCAGAGAAAGGAAAAACAATTCTTATCATTTGCTGTGGCTGTGTTTGTGCAGAAGTAGAATGCAATATGGAGATGGTTTACCCAAAGTGATGGGGTTTTGTTTCCTTGGCCTGTCAGGTGTGTGTGTGTTGGGACTGTGGGGTGACAGTCATGAGATTCTGTGCATTGTGTGCAGAGTGGAGTGCTTGGCAGGTTCAGTTTTTAGAGGTATAGAATGATTTAGTATAATAAAGTAATTAATTAGCCTTCTGATAAAATGGAGTCGGATGCATCACTCTCTCTCCCCTCGTTGGGCTTGCCTGCAAATGCTGTGGGATGTCCCACCAGGCTCTGCAGCATCACAGAGCCCCCGGGGTGGGAGGATGCTTCTGCTCACGGCACAGGACCCACCACAAACCCTGCCTTGGGGCACTGACCACCCTGGTGGGACAGGGGCATGGCCGAGATGCACGGAACCCCCTCCTCCTTCCCAGGACCGGCTCAGGAAGGAGCGGCGGTGCCATCCCATCCCTACCCAGCGGTAGAGCTTCATGGCCGCGGGGATTTTGGGCTCGCGGTCGTACTGCAGGCTGGCCCCGGGCTCCCGGCAGGTGCCGCGTTTGCCCCGCAGGTGAGCGGCTCGGTACACGGCGTGCCGGCCGGCCACGGCCCCCTCCAGCGGCTCCAGCAGGAACGTGGTCTCATTCACCCGGAAAAACCCGCTGGGGACAGACACACAGACAGACAGACAGACAGACAGAGGGGCAGGCGTCAGCCTGGGGGCACAGGCAGGACACGGACAGACCTGCAGAAGTGCCTGTGGTAGGTGCCCCATCCCTGGGATTGTTCGGGTCTAGTGGAAGGTGTCCCTGCCCACGGCATGGGGTGCGACTTAATGAGCTTTGAGGGCCTTCCATCCCAAACCATTCTGGGACTCTACATAAATGCAGCTGCCAAAGTGGCTGCTGGGCTGGGAGGGGACGGGCAGCGCAGCACGGGGAGTACCCAGGACTCCGGGCAGCAGGAATGTCCTGGGCTTCAGCAGCTGATCCTTTAGGGATGGACCCAGCCAGGGCACTGCCGCCAGGAGCTCCGGTGGTGTCAGGGCTCCACTCTCACCCCAGGGCCGTGAGTCAGCCCCAAAGCGCCGGCAGCCTTTCCTGCCGAGGGCAGCACCTCCAGCAGGAACAGGGATGTCATTGTCCCTTCCGCAGGGAAAGCTGAGCTCAGGCTGCATCAGCACGGCCGCGGCTCTGTCACCAGCTCAGTGGTTCTTTGTCACCGGGTCACCTGGGCTCTGCCACTCTGGGTCACCGGGGCTCTGTCACTCTGCTCACCAGGCTCTGTCACTCTGCTCACCAGGGCTCTGTCACCCTGGGTCATCGGGGCTCTGTCCCTCTGGGTCACCGGGGCTCTGTCACTCTGCTCACCAGGGCTCTGTCACTCTGGGTCACCGGTGCTCTTTCACTCTGGGTCACCGGGGCTCTGTCACTCTGGGTCACCTGGGCTCTGTCCCTCTGGGTCACCGGGCTCTGTCACCCTGGGTCACCAGGCTCTGTCATCCTGGCTCACCAGGGCTCTGTCACTCTGGTCACTGGGCTCTGTCACTCTGGGTCACTGGGGCTCTGTCACCCTGGGTCACCTGGGCTCTGTCCCTCTGGGTCACCTGGGCTCTGTCACTCTGGCTCACCAGGGCTCTGTCACTCTGGGTCACCTGGGCTCTGCCACACCAGCTCACCAGGGCTCTGTCACCCTGGCTCACCAGGGCTCTGTCACTCTGCTCACCGGGGCTCTGTCCCACCGTGTCACCGTGCCATGTGCCGAGGCTGGCAGCTGTCCCCAGCCAGGAGCAGGGCTCCAGCTCACCTGAGCCCGCCGCAGGTGCTGATGCTCGCTGCCGAGTCGGGCTGTCCCCGCACGTGGCCCTGGTAGAAGCAGTGATCCTGCAGAGACAGGGCACAGCTGTGGGGCTGCCCTGGCACGGTGGGGCCCCCCGGGGATGGGAGAGCTGCTCCCCCAGCCAGCTGTACCTGCGTGTCCGGCTGCTCCGTGATCTCGGAGCCATTGGCTGAGTAGTGAGTCTCGGTGTAGTGCTGCCCCAGCAGGGCCCTGCGGGGTGGGGAGGGGGCGTCAGCAGTGACCCCGCTTTGGGGGGAGCACGTGGGGGCTGTGACACCCCCGGTGGGCTTGGCAAGGAGGGGATAAAGGGCTCTGGGCTGAGGGTCAGGTCAGCAGTGCAGTGACACCAGGCCTGGGAGAAGGGATGCTCAGGGCAGGGGTGGGCTGCAAACCCCCCTGAGGCCACCCCACCGTGCCCACCTGCACTCACCTGTTCCTCTCCAGCCACAGGAGGTGCTCCCTGCCTTCTGCACGGATGCCATAGAGGACGTGGCTTGGGTAGGTGCTCTGCATGAAGGAGAGGTGCCATCAGAGACTCAGCAGGAGCCAGAGCTGCGCCAGAGGGGCCCTGCCCTGCCCAGGAAGGGGACAGGGGCTGTGTGTGCCCTGCTGAGGGAGCCTGGCCTCTCAGCCTGGAGGCAGCAGCAAAGACACAGGAAATCAGAAGAGAAGGAAGAGAGCCTGTGGGCAATAAGGCAAATCCCCAGCACATCCTGAGATGAAGAACAGGTCACCCACAAGGAGACGGAGTCAGCAGTCTGGTTTCCCGTGTCTGACACACGGCTGCAGATGGCCCTGCCAGGGACTGAGGTTTCCTACTCATCAGTCACAGAGCTCCTTTTTTGGGGTCTGAGTTCAGCACTTACTCACCAGCTGAACCACAGAGATCCCCATGGCTCTTATCAGCAGAGACTTCCTCCTGCCAGCCTCATCTGACACGCCACATCACGTTAAGGAATGGCTTCCCTCAGCTCCCCTCGGCCTCTCAGAGCACATTTTAGCAGCACTGTGTCCCCAGTCCCAGTGGGAGGGAGCCAGGGTGGCTGTGGCTCAGCCAGCTGAGCCCTGAACCCTCAGCATGGAGATGTTCCTACAGGAAAAGTGTTTCCCTCTGGGCTGTCCTGAGATCTCCACCTGCAGAGGCCCCATCCCACTGGAATCACTGGGAAAGGGTCACGGTCCTGTGCCAGGCTGTGCCCTTGCCACGAGGGATCTGAGACCTCTCCTGAGGGCACATCCACCTCTCCTGAGAGCACATCCACCTCTCCTGAGAGCACATCCACCTTTCCCAAGGGCACATCCACCTCTCCTGAGGGCACATCCACCTCTCCTGAGGGCACATCCACCTTTCCCGAGGGCACATCCACCTCTCCTGATGGCACACCCACCTCTCCCAAGGGCACACCCACCTCTCCCAAGGGCACATCCTCAGCCCTTGCCAATCCAGGTGTGGAGAGAGCCCAGCCAAAGGCAAAGCAAACCTCTCCCATGGGGCCAGCATTCCTCAGGGATGAGGTGTGTTGCCTCTCCCCGGGGAGGGTGACAGCGCTGGCTGTCATGCCATGGCTCAGCATTCCCGAGGGGATGATCTGCACCCGGGAAGGAGCCAGGCTGAGTGGAGAGCCCTGCTGACTCAGTGCCAGCAGCAGGGCCAGGTGAGAGGCTTTGCCTGGAACTCAGCTGCGCCCACTCTCCCTGGTTTGCAGCTCCAGGCCAGCGCCCTCGTGGGTCCCTGGAAAATTCCTCTCTTATGAACAGCGTCTGTCCCGACCCCTGTCCGCCAACAAAGCCATCCTTTGTTATTGTTGGCAACCCCAAGGCCAGAAGAGCTCTCAAGGAATGGCAGGAAAGCTCTTGGAAGGGGGTGCTGGGTCAGGGAGCGTCTCTGGGAGACGACCGCAGGGCAAGTTTAAAATAAGAAGTTCTGCAAAAGCTGCTCTGAATCAGCTCCTGCCTCATCAGCATGGGCTGTGCAAGGGCTCCAGATGGGAAGGCTTTGGGAGCAGCCCTGAGAGCCCCGTGGCCGTGCTGAGCCAGCTCAGCAAAGCCACAACACAGGGACAGGAGGGAATTTCTTCCAGCTGCTCCCAGTAAGAGACCCAGAGAGCTGGGGATGGGGATGGAGATGGGGATGGGGATGGGGATGGGGATGGGATGGGGATGGGATGGGGATGGGATGTCCCATCCCACCCAAGCTCAGGTGGGGAGAGCCAACAGGCCTTGCACACTTTTCCAGAGCCCTTTCCATGAAGAACCCGGCTGTGCCACTCTCCCTGCTGGGCTGGTGGGAAGGACCAGGAGATCCCAGGGCTCCACCCTGTGTGCAGGGATGAACTTTTTGCTTTTTAAGCAAAGCCAGGGGGTAGCTGGTCTGCTTCAGCCCTCCCCTGCTGGACTAATCCCACGTGTCCCAACCACTCCAGCCCCTGAACCAGCTCCTGGTTACAGGAGGCAGCGTGGAGCACACCCACCTCTGTCTCACAGGGGCTTGGTGGTGGCCAAACCTTGCTGAGAGCTCCTTCCCCACCCAGATGACCAGGAGAGCAAGAGGCAGACAGCCTCTCTTCAAAGGTGGTCAAACCTTGCTGAGAGCTTCTTCCCCACCAAAGAGCAAACCTAACCTCTCTCCAAGAGCCAGCAAAAAAGGGCTTGGAAAGCAGGAGAGTCCCTGCCCTGAACAAGGCAGGTTTGGGATGTCCAAGAACCACCCAAACCAAGACAAATCCGGGTGCCACCCATCAGACAGCCCCTGTGGCAGTCCCCAGGCACTGAGCTCATGGCAGATGTCTTCTCCAGAGGGATCCCTCAGGGTGGGTGAGCTCCCCTTGCCGGGGGGATCGGCGCCGGCGCACGCCCGGCACAGATGGCGTCTCTAAATAGCCCAGGGAATGTTTATCTCGTGGACAAGTTTAGGTTTCTGGAGCAGGGAAAACAGATGCTTTGGGGAGTGTTTTTGAAGCTAGCTTATCAGGAAGGGTTTGAATCACAGAGGAGCGTGCTGTATGGCACTGGGGGATACGTGTCCCCGGTCCCTCTGTGCCTCCGGGTGCTAAAATCGGCGCTTTTTGGGGCCAGAAAAGGAATTTAAAACAAAAAAATGGCTGAATTTCACTGTAAGGCAATGAGGAAAGTGACTTTGAAGTCAAGCACTCCAAACTCCTGACTCAGACCCCATTCCTTCCCCCAAATTGCCAGGTTTCCCAAGAAAAACAGCACTGGTTTGCTTTCATGTGGATTTCTGCAACTTTCTGATTCTTATTTCTCCGTCCCAAAGGACAAAAAAAAAGCCCCAACTTCAGCAAACACAGCAAGAAAAGTGCTTACAGCTCCACGAGGCTCTGCAAACCCCTCCTTAAGGAAAGACCAGATGTCACAAGATCACGGCAAGGCTGCAAGAGGTGGCACCGCTGGGTCACGTCTCCAGAAAAAGCACTGGAGAAAGCAGCCCCTCTCTGCAGGAGTGCACCCCGCTGCCTGCAGGCCCTAATTAGACCCCAAACAGCCCAGAAAAGCTGATCTGATCAGCTGCTCCAGCATCTCCAAGGCAAGGAAACGCGGCTCGTCATTCTTTGGGTGCGGGGCTGAGCGGGTCTGGCCAAAAGGTCGGTGCAGGGGTCCCGCTCTGAGCCTGGTGGTGGGACAAGGTCCCTGCTGGTTGCATCCCCCGGGCAGATGCCCCGGGAGCAGCGAGGGCGGCTGTGACTCACCGGAGGCGCGGAGAGGTCTCTCTTGCCCCGGGGCACCGGCAGCTCCCGCGGCAGCACCGTCTCGTACCGCTCCACGTGGGGCAGCTCCTCCAGCCCGGCCCTGGAGCCTGGAAAAGCCCAAGGGCTTTGAGACAGAAGCCCGGGAACCACCGGGGCACGGGATATCCCCAGCTGGAAGGGTCACACACGGATCACTGAGCCAGCTCCTGACCCCCCAGCAATCCCACCCCGGGCATCCCTGGAGCGGTGTCCAAGCGCTCCTGGAGCTCTGGCAGCCTCGGGGCTGTGCTCGTTCCCTGGGGGAAGAACCCTTCCCTGAAATCCACCCTAAACCCTCCCTCCCCGTCCGACACGCCGCTCCCTCGGGTCTGAAGCCAGGGCACAACGAGAGCAGCCAGCGTGAAGGTGCAGGGACGAGCCCCGAGAGCAAATCCCGAAATATCGGCTGGGAACGCAACTCCCCGGCGCCCACACAGCGCTCAGCATCACCTGAGAGCGAGCAAGTCCCTTTGGGGCTGGAAACCCAGAGGGATTTGGGTTTCCAGATCCCTGGTGCGGCCATCCAGAGAGGTTTTCCAGCTCCCCATGGTGATGGCACCGCGTGTGACTCGGCGTCTGGCGGCTGTGGGGGCTGCCGGGGAGAGCGGCTGGTGCCTGGGTGGCTCAGCCCCCTCCCAGCCTTCCCTGGATGCCGGAGCGGAGAATTCCTGCCGTAAGCGCTTTGCTTTTCCCGGGAGCCCCGCACGCCGCGGTCGGACGGGGCTGGATGCTCGCTCCGGGGGTGCCCGGAGCCAGATGAGTCCGGGCCACCTCACCGGCTGAGCGACGGGGGACCCCCGGCCGGCCGCGGATTGTCACCCTCCTGTCGCCTTGCCGAGGTGCCCGCACGGCCCGGGAGGCACCGGGAGCATCCCCGTGGGAGCCAGCCCGGCCCCTGGCGTCCCTTCTCCATCATCCTTCTCCAGAGAGGAGCACCCCGGGAGGGACCCCGGGAAAGCATCCCCGTGCCTGCATCCCGGTGCCTCCATCGCCCCCCAAAGTGCCCGCCCGCCCTCCCGGGAGCCCCGGCTCACCGCGGGCCGGCAGCGGCAGCAGCAGCAGCGGCAGCAGCGGCAGCAGCAGCGGCGGGGCCATGGCTCGGAGGTCCCGCCGTGCCCCCGCTCGCCGCGCCGCCGGCAGCCCCCGCCCGCCGTGACTCACCCACGGCCGGGACGGGACGGGGCGGGGCGGGCGGGACGGGCCGCCCACGGCAGGGAACGGCGGGGACACCGGGAGATGGGGGCACCGGGAACCGGGGCAGGCACCGGGAGATGGGGGCATGGGAGATGGGGCACCGGGAGCTGCGGGCACCGGGAACCGGGCGGGTATTGGGAGATGGGGCACGGGGAACCGGAAAGGGCACCGGGAGATGGGGGCACGGGAGATGGGGTCACGGGGAATCGGGGAGGGCACCGGGAGCTGTGGAGGGGGCCCCGGGGACATCGCGGGAGGATCCGTGGGGAGCTGGCGAGGGGCCGCGGCACCAGGGGCAGGCAGCGGCGGATCGAGGAGGATCCGCGGGCACCGGGGGATGTCCGTAGGGAAATGGGGGGGGCCCACGGGGAATTTGAGGGAGGGTGGTGTGGGCACCACGGGGCACTGGGGACTGTCCCCGGGCAATCGCGAGGGTTCATGGGGAATTGAGAAGGGTGCACAGGGACACCTGGAGGGGCCGTGGGACACTGGGGAGGCAGCACAGGAGAGGGTCCACGGGCCATTGGAGCGTGTCCATGGGCCACTGGGGAATTGGGGGGTGGTCTGTGGGGCACTGGGCACTGTGCAAGGGCACCTGGAGGGGCTGAGGGACACTGGGCACTGTCCAAGGGGCACTGAGGAGGGTCCTGGGGCATTGGGCAGGGGTCAAGGGGCATCAGGACGGTGCCTGGGGTGCACAGGGAGTCAGGGAGGGTTTGCAGGACACCAGAGGGGACACTGGGGACTGTCCATGGCATCCAGGAGCACTCTGTGGGGAACTGTGGCTGGCTGTGAGGCTCTGGGGAGGGTCAATGGGGCACGGGGGGCTGGGTCAGTGGGGGATGCCCACGGGACATTGGGGTGGAGGGGATGGTCCGGGTGGCACTGGGGACTCTGTGTATGGCCTTGGGGGCATGAAGGTGCCCCCTGGTCTGGTGGGACATGTCCCCATGTCCTGGGGCTCTGCAGGGGCACTCGGGGCACTGGGGTGGCTGGACTGTCACAGGAAGCACTGGAGCTGGGAGATCAGGGCAGATAAGCTGGGCACGTTTGTATTTCTGGGTGTTTCTGGCCAGGGCCAAGCAGGAAATGGAAATGGAAATGGACAGAGGCACGTGGGTGTGAACGGATTTGGGATTAGTCATAAATTCACTGTTGATTCAATGAACTCTCCATGACTTCTAGTGGGACTCAGTGTTGGCTGCTGGTCCCCACGCTCTGCTGGGCTCTCTCTCCCTCTGGCAAGCTGGAGGAGCAGCTGCAGGCCATGGAGCACACAGAACCTGGCTCTTCCCTCCTGTGAGCTCTGGAGGTCCCTGCACAGGAGCAGTGAGGGAGAGGAGGGACAGGAGCACTCAGTCCTGTGCCCACAGCCCTCACACACATCCCCAGGTTCCCACTCCTGTCCCCAAGGCCGCTGTGTCCCTGGTCTTGGTTACCCCTTGCTCCTGGGAGACATTTCTCTTCCTCCCTCCATGCAGCTGCTCTCAAGCTGCCTCAGGCAATACTCAGATTCTCTGGAACTCCTGTGCTGCAGGCTTGGGGTTGGAAAGGAACTTAAAGATCATCCCATGGCATGGATAGGGACACCTTCCTCTATCCCAGGCTGCTCCAAGCCCTGTCCAACCTGGCCTTGGGCACTCCCAGGGATGGAGCATCCACAATAATTTGCACCTTAAGTTCTGTTAACAGACAAAACCACCCTGATTTTTTTTTCTTGTTGTTGTTATTTAATTTATTTTACAACACACAAACACATCATTGTACAACACAGTAAAAAAAAACCCAAAAAACAAACCAAAAAGCAAAAAAAAAAGCCTGAAACATTACAAACATGTCAGCAGAGTGAAGGCTGGCTTGTGGCAGGGTGGGCAGGGGCTCACTGGGCAGGCACGGCCAGGCGGGGCAGCAGCGGCGGCGCCCTCCGGCTGCGCTCGGCTGACATGTGCTCCAGGCGCTCCGTGTAGAAACCATTGAAGTCCAACCTGAGGGACAGAACACACCTGGGGCAGGGCAGGTGGCAGCAGGAACCTCCCCCAGGACACCCACAGGGTGCTGCTGCTCACCCCTTGCTGTGGGGTTGTAACAATTGTTGTCACCAATTGCTGCGGTGTTGCAAGGTCCCCAGGACGAGGTGAGAATTGACTCCAAGCTCTCAGAAGGCTGATTTATTATTTTATAATATTATCTTATCTTATATTATATTAAAATAAAATTATCTACTAAAACTATACTAAAGAAAGAGAAATAATCCAGACAGAAGGCTAGAAAAGAATGAATAATAAAAACTCCTGACTGACCAGAGTCCCCAGCACAGCTGGGCTGGGATTGGTCATTAAGTTAAAACAATTCACATGGAACCAATCAAAGATGCACCTGTTGGCAAGCAACCTCCAAATCACATTCCAAGCAATCAGATAATTATTGTTTACATTTCTTTTCTGAGGCTTCTCAGGAGATTTTTCAGAAAACATCATGGTGACAACAGGGAGCCCTGTCCCTGCATGGGATGTGTGTGCCATGGGTGTGGTGACACCTGCTCTGTGCCATGCCTTGACAGGGAAATGCATCAGGAATCTGCCCCAAATACATTGGGAAGGACCAAAAGCTCACAGCTCCTCTGCAGACCACACAGAGGTGTCTTGTGTGGACAAGGGTTGCTCAGTGTCTGCACCTTCCCAGCCCTCCCCAGCACTGCTGAAACCCCAGAGTTCAGCAGCACTGACCTCTGGCATTAACTCCCACAGGAAATGCACCCAGCACCAGGAAATGCTGAGGTTCCCATCCCCACCATCCCTTGGCTAACACCAGGATGCTTCCCACAGATCCACAACTCACCAACACCAGCAACTGGCCAGAAGATGCTCAGCCACAAGTGACACTTGGAAAAGCCTCTCCAAAGCACTCAACACCAGGGGTACCAGCACAACCACAGCTCCCTGATAATCCAGAGTGATGCCACCCAGCCCCAAGCCTGCTGCCACCTTCCCATGGCAGATCCCAGAGCACCCACAGCCTGTGCAGCTCATGTGCCCTGGATCACTGAGCAGGCAGGCAGTGCAAGCCCATGAATCACACAAAAGTTACTCTCTCCCTTTCTCAAATTAGGCTGCTCCAGTACCAACTGAATGGGCACAATATTTGAGTTTCATGTTGCTTAACAACCTCACACAAACGGCAACAAATTGTTCCTTGACATTTTTTGGTGCCTGCAGAAAACAGAGCCTCGACAGATGGAATTTATCTGTTGCTCTCTCCTGGCTGAAAAGCTTTACATTGCCTTCATCCCCGAGGAGTTGAACCAGGGAAACCTGACACTGAGGTGAGAGCACTGGGCAAGTTTTGGTTCAAACACAAGGCCAGGACTTGCTGCTCTGAGGACCTGCTCCATTTCTAAAGCTGCTTCATGCCCAGCTCAGTGACTGACAGATTTTGCTTGGCTTCCCTTTCAGCTGTTTTTAGTTTCAAGTGATCCCTGATAACCATTTCTTCAGAATCTGTGTGGTGCTCCCTCAGCATGTGCTTACGTGGCAGTTTCTTGTTTTGTGGTGGGGTTTGCACCACTTCACGTCCTGGTGACCTACTCTGGGCTCAGCTTCCTCCTGGTAAGGGAAGGATGCTGATAACCACCCTGATGTGTAAGATTTCTCAGAATGAGGACTCAACTAATCCTGCTGACAAAGCCCTTTCCTCTGTGGTTCTACTCCTTTTCACTCCTGAGATGTGTTGGAGTGACTGGAGAGTTCCTGCACTCCCAAGGGAATGGCTGGAGATTTAGGTTGGAGATCAGGCCCAGGGGAGGTTGGGGTTGGATTTCAGGGCAAGGTTCTTCCCCAGAGGATGCTGGCACTGCCCAGGCTGCCCAGGGAATGGGCACAGCCCCGAGGCTGCCAGAGCTCCAGGAGAGCTTGGACACTGCTCCAGGGTGGGATTGTTGGGGTGTCTGCATGATCCTTGTTGGATCCCTTGCACCTCAGGAGATTTTCTGATTCTAGTCTATGACACACTGAGCAGGACTTGGGCACAGCAGAGACCTGTCACCTGTGACCTCTGAAGGAAACCCTCTGCATCTCCATCTCCTGTTGTTTGATGCCACAAATAAAATGTCTCAGTTACTCAGTACCACAAAATGAATAAGTGTTAACCAGGATCAAGTAAATGATGATGAGCAAGTACCAGAACTGTGAATTTTGTTATTTATCTGACATGTTGATGATCCCTGTTGGAAAGCAGTCCCATAAAAAAGGTTATAAATTAGAAGAAAAGTATGGTATGTCTTACAAACTCTTCCTTATAAACTCTCTCAAATATGTTATTTCAGATGGCAACTGTCTCCACTCTGCTTCTCAGGTTCCTGTTGCCATAGAGCCCAGGCCTGGAGCCAACAATCCCTCCAACCTGAATCGGAGCTAAATGTCACCTCTGGGCATTCACTGTGGGGCTCCCACCCTTTCTGCAGCCCTGAGCAGGGATTGGAAAGGTCCCATGGGCTGTTCACACCCAGGATTTCTGCTGAGGAAATGGGCACATCTGGGCTGGCAGGAAAGGTCCCAGGGGCTGTTCACACCCAGGATTTCTGCTGAGGAAATGGGCACATCTGGGCTGACAGGAAAGGTCCCAGGGGCTGTTCACAGCCAGGATTTCTGCTGAGGAAATGGGCACATCTGGGCTGACAGGAAAGGTCCCATGGGCTGCTCACACCCAGGATTTCTGCTGAGGAAATGGGCACATCTGGGCTGGCAGGAAAGGTCCCATGGGCTGTTCACACCCAGGATTTCTGCTGAGGAAATGGGCACATCTGGGCTGGCAGGAAAGGTCCCAGGGGCTGTTCACACCCAGGATTTCTGCTGAGGAAATGGGCACATCTGGGCTGACAGGAAAGGTCCAGTAGCTCCAATGTC